CTCAATAGAGCATTCACAGCACCAAGAGTGAGAATCACTGTAATAGGTGCTTTTATCAAAAATTTTGGTCAGATTATGGTAGGTATCAAAAATCTTGGTCCTTGAAATGATTATGGTAAGTATAATAATCTTGGTCTTTTTAAAGATTCTGGTAGGTATAAAAATCGTGAGATACAGAGGTATAAAAATCGCGAGATACAGGCAAGTTATTTGTAGGTATAAAAATCGTGAGATACAGACGAGTTATTTGTTGGTATCTGGCAGGATATATCGCCGTACGTTAAGCCTACCCTTCGTCTTAACCAACCCAAATCTAAAATGATAAGTAATTAAAATTAAATAATTATTTTAGTAAAGTATGCAATGCACCTATCATACTAATAAACCGGTATAATTTATATGTTTAGCTCCTCACATATGTTAGTGCTAGAGGAAATTGTGTGAGGTATGTAAATACGAACATGGTGTCGATAAAAAACAAACAGTTACGATCGATAAATTTCATCAGATAGCTCTCAAAAAATTATAGGAATTCAAACTTCTCAAGACATCTGAAGTATCTATATAGAGATTGGCTTTTAAATAAGTACTTTCTGAAACAGAAAATTAGATCAAGGAAATTTGGGAAGCCTTATAAGAATCTATCAAATTGATATTTGATATGATCGATAAATAAGATAACTTTTATATGTATTTCATTAATAATTATTCCAATCCTGCACAATTAGCAAAATTAGACTTAGAAAAATTAGTACAGATATTAGAAAACAATTCTTTAAAAATATGGAAAGATTAAAAAAATTTTTATTTGTCAAAATTGGAAAAAGCAAATAAGTGGTTGGGCTAAGAAATTAAGGAATTAAATGAAAGGATTAGAAAAGAATTGATAGAAATTGTTTCACTAGAATTTAATTCATTAATAGGAAACATGATTGGGTCAACCTTTAATTAGAAAAACTAGAAAATATAAAAACTAACAAAATTGGTAGGTCATACTAATACCGTCTTTTAAGTCTGTTTCTCTCCTGATAGTACTACTTTAGCATCTTGTAGTTATGATTAATCTATTCGTTTATGGAATGCTAAAACAGGATTATAAAATACCAAAATGGATGATTATAAATTTGATGTAAGATCAATTAGTTTCTCTCCTGATGATTCAACCTTAGCAGCGACTTATGATAATTCCATACATATATGGGATGTTAAAACACGTCAATAAAAATCAATATTGAATGGTGATAGTTATTGTATCTGTTTCTCTCCTGATAATACTACTTTAGCATCTTGTAATGATAACTTTATCATTTTATGGGACATTAAAACTGGATAATAAAAAGCCAAATTGTATGGTCATATTAATTATATTAATTCAGTCTGTTTCTCTCCTGATAATACTACTTTAGCATCTTGTAGTAATGATAAATTTATCCTTTTATGGGATGTTAAAACTGGATAATAAAAAGCAAAATTGGATTGTCATACTGATTTTATTAATTCAGTCTGTTTCTCCACTGATAATACTACTTTAGCATCTTGTAGTAATGATAACTTTATCCTTTTATGGGATGTTAAAACCGGATAATAACTAGCCAAATTGGATGGTCATACTCATAATGTAATGTCAGTCTGTTTTTCTCCCGATGGAACCACACTAGCATCTAGTAGTTATGATTAATCTATACGTTTATGGGATGTTAAAACAGGATAATAAAAAATTAAATTATTGTGTCCAACAGGTTGCAGATTAGTCTGTTTCTCTTGTGGTGGTACTGCTTTAGCATCTTTAAGTGATGATAACTCAATATTATTATGGAATGTTAAAAGTGGGTAATTAGAAAACAAATGGTAAAAATATACTTGGAATAAAAATAATAATTTAATTTGTTTCTCTCATGGTGGTACTACTTTAGCAACTAGTCTTACTAATAACGAAATAACATTATATAATGTTAGAACTGGAAATTACAATTAAACCTTGAAGGGTCAACCTAGCAATATCTACTCAATCAGTTTCTCTGTTGATGGTACTACTTTAGCATCTGGTAGTAGTGATTATTCTATACGTTTATGGGATGTTAGAACAGGATAATAAAAAATCAAATTTAATGGTCATTCTAAGACAATCTCCTCAGTCTGTTTCTCTCCTGGTGGTTGTTCATTAGCATCTGGTAGCGAAGATAGCTCTATACGTTTATGGGATATTCAAACTGAAAAATAAATAGCCAAATTTGATGGTCATTCTAAGAATGTCAACTCAGTCTGTTTCTCTTTTGATAGTACTACTTTAGCATCTGGTAGTAGTGATTAATCTATACGTTTATGGGATATTATAACAGGATAATAAAAAGCCAAATTTGATGGTCATACTGGTTCAGTCAATTCAGTCTGTTTCTCTCCTGATAGTAGTACATTAGCATCTGGTAGTGAAGATAGCTCTATACGTTTATGGGATGTTAAAAAAGGAAAATAAATAGCCAAATTAGAAGGTCATACTAAAAGAGTCAACTCAATCTGTTTCTCCCCTGATGGTTCTACCTTAGTATCTGGTAGCAGTGATAAATTGATTCGTATATGGGATGTTAAAACAAGATAATAAAAAGCCAAATTGGAGGGTCATAGTGAATCAGTTATATCAGTCTGTTTTTCTCCTGATGGTACTACTTTAGCATCTGGTAGTAGCGATTGTTCTATATGTTTATGGGGGACTAAATTGGATAAATGAATAACATGATTCATATTATTAAATAAAGAGCCAAGTTTATTTTCTATTGTAGATTTGGAGTCCATTTTTTCTCCTAAAATTATTTTAATGATAATATTGATTATTGCTACACTCTTTATAATCACATTCAAAGCATCTGAAAAATGTATGAAAAAGAAAGATAGAGTCAGTTAAACATTCGACATTAGTGTACTTATTCCCATACTTCCACAATTTCGAACTTTCATATCCAACTTATTTTACTTTATTTATTTCTATTTTATGGATATTTATTTCTTGTTATTAACTCTCTACATTTCTTTTCAAAGGAGTGTGATGTTGGCACCTCTGTCATTAGACTCGTTTAAATATGCATTAGTGTTACGCTTCTAATATATATAATAGCATTATTAATTAATATTTTATTAACATAATTAGAAAAAAAAGGAATATGAATCAAAATTAAATTCAATTTGACAAAATATTTAAGAGTCAAGTATCTAAAAATTAAAATGAATCATGTTACCAATTAAAATAATTTGAGTATCATTAATGATATGAATTAATAGCTGATGAGCTATAAATCAATATTAATGAAATTATAGCAAATGAAATGTTTCATCAAAACTTACAAGTTCAAGATTAACAAAATATTTATTTTTAGTGTTAAAACTAAAACCAGCTCTGGAGAAAATAAAACAAGTTGATTTCCATTTATCAAATATTTATCAAAAGAGAGCTTGTATAATACTAAAACTTAAATAAAGGTAAAATAGCACTAATAAGTATTAATAAAAATCAAGAAAAACAACAATTGCAGTAAAAAGAAATGAAGAAGACTAATTCAATCATAAACTGATTATTTTCTTTCATATAAATAATTTCCTCAATAGACTGAAACAATATGGTATAAGGAAATCTGATCACTGTCTAATCCAAATAGTAATATCATTAAAAAATCAAATAAACAGAGACTTAATAAATTATCAATAAAAAAAAGAATAGCAATCCGTGAATGTAAGAAATTATTCTGAAATTATTAAATTTAAAGTAAATATTAAACACAACTAGAATCATACTTTATAAAATCAAATATTAAGAAAACAAAAATGACCCATTTGATTATTTTAATTATTTAATTATTTAAAAATTACATTGTTAATAAATTAAACTATGCAATAAATAGATTAAAGATTGAGCTAGGCATTTCCTCCAAACTCTTTAAGTAACTCTAATTATTATTTTTTAATATTAAGAGGAACTTCTATTCAATAATAAAAAATTCTCACCATTAAATTACCTCATTCTCCTTAATTAGCTTTTCATCAATATGGATAAATTATTAGAGAATACTCATAATACAGTTGATTTTCCATTGTTATTTGATACAAAATAAAGTTAGAGAATTAGTAATAATTAACATGGAAATCATGTAGTTTAAAAATTAATTCAATCAATGGAGAATGAGATAAGGCATTTGATTGTAGAATAATTTAAAAGCTATTTCGATATCTAATAATGATTCAGATAAATACATAGTAATGTTGTTGATTGTGCAATAAAATGCTCTGAAAAGTAATAATTCTTAAATTTTATTAGTGATCTGCATATGGTAATTATGTAGTTTAATTTTTTTTGAAATATGCAGATTCAGAAAAATAAAAAGAATTATATTTAAAAATTAGGAATAATAAATAACTTCTATAAGAAATANAACCAGCTCTGGAGAAAATAAAACAAGTTGATTTCCATTTATCAAATATTTATCAAAAGAGAGCTTGTATAATACTAAAACTTAAATAAAGGTAAAATAGCACTAATAAGTATTAATAAAAATCAAGAAAAACAACAATTGCAGTAAAAAGAAATGAAGAAGACTAATTCAATCATAAACTGATTATTTTCTTTCATATAAATAATTTCCTCAATAGACTGAAACAATATGGTATAAGGAAATCTGATCACTGTCTAATCCAAATAGTAATATCATTAAAAAATCAAATAAACAGAGACTTAATAAATTATCAATAAAAAAAAGAATAGCAATCCGTGAATGTAAGAAATTATTCTGAAATTATTAAATTTAAAGTAAATATTAAACACAACTAGAATCATACTTTATAAAATCAAATATTAAGAAAACAAAAATGACCCATTTGATTATTTTAATTATTTAATTATTTAAAAATTACATTGTTAATAAATTAAACTATGCAATAAATAGATTAAAGATTGAGCTAGGCATTTCCTCCAAACTCTTTAAGTAACTCTAATTATTATTTTTTAATATTAAGAGGAACTTCTATTCAATAATAAAAAATTCTCACCATTAAATTACCTCATTCTCCTTAATTAGCTTTTCATCAATATGGATAAATTATTAGAGAATACTCATAATACAGTTGATTTTCCATTGTTATTTGATACAAAATAAAGTTAGAGAATTAGTAATAATTAACATGGAAATCATGTAGTTTAAAAATTAATTCAATCAATGGAGAATGAGATAAGGCATTTGATTGTAGAATAATTTAAAAGCTATTTCGATATCTAATAATGATTCAGATAAATACATAGTAATGTTGTTGATTGTGCAATAAAATGCTCTGAAAAGTAATAATTCTTAAATTTTATTAGTGATCTGCATATGGTAATTATGTAGTTTAATTTTTTTTGAAATATGCAGATTCAGAAAAATAAAAAGAATTATATTTAAAAATTAGGAATAATAAATAACTTCTATAAGAAATACAATAATATAAATTTGAATTGAATTAAGAGATGTAAGAAAAAACTTAATTAAAATTATATTTATTAATAAAATAATTGTTGAAAAATAGATGTTGATAGTCAAATTAAAATGTTATTATTGTGTTAACAATACTTTATAAAATTAATATCTTTCAAGGTCAATTTGTTTATTAAATGTTAACTCAGAAATTAGAATTAGAAACCTTCAATTTATGAAATGTGTTTATGATTTGTTTATATATCTAATATTTTTAGAACACTGTTAAAAATATATTTTATAATTAAATATGTAAAAAACTGAGCCAGTTGGCAGAGATCCTTAGATTTTTGAAACTTTGAATTAATAGGATGGTAAAATAAATACTCAATTTATAGATTCAATGTAAGTGTAAGATATTTTTATTGTACTTTCTTTCTTTAAATTAAGAAAAAATAGCTGTAAAAATGTTGAAATTAAACTTATAGAAGTCACTATCTAAATTGACTAAACCCTTAAAAAATGTAAATATCAAATAAAAACTTATTCTGGACATACACCTTATTTATTAATTAATACTACAAACCTAAATAAGTCACACCTTAAAATTTGAATTCTTCCTAAAATAAACCTCATATCAAAAATTAAAATTTTCTTGCCTAAACAGGTAAAGGTCCTATTCGGAAAGTTAATAATTATAAATATTTTATTTCTATCATTAACTTAAATTAAATATATTTATTTATTTAAACCCAAAAAGATCTGAAATTCTTATCTATTTTGATACATGCAAATTCCAATAATTTTAATAAAGCTTTAGCTGTTGCTTCTCTCTCTCTTCTTTCAACATTAATATCTTGTTAGAGCTACATTATTAGATAGAGTTTAAAATCCTATTCTTTTTTATCATCAAAGGCCTTAGAGTATAAGATTTATGATATACTTCTCTTTCAGATTTTTAATTATGAGCATAATCTTGAAGCTTTTTTACTTGATCTCTAAGGATCTTTAATCTTTATTCATCCTTAGGTTTTTCAGAGGACTTAAATTTGTTTACAAAACAATTTTATGGAATAGCAAATATCCATCTTTCCAACTTTACAAAAACATCTTGATATAATATTAGTACATTTATTTATTTAAATAGACTTATTAATTTGATTTTACTTATCATTCTGTATTTCAATTATTTTGGTATATATCTATTTTACATAATACTCAAGCTAATATTTTTTAGGCTCTTATGAAGATGTTTGGTAGTTTAATGGAATAAAAGAAATAGTAAAACACAAATGATTTAATACCAATTGATAATAATTTTTTATTACCAAATATTTTTGAAATTTTTGAAAACAAATAAACTAAATCAAATAAAAAATAAAAATTATTGGATAAAAGTGAAGATAATAAAAAAATTTCAATCTTAACTGAAATTGAACTCCCTAAAGAAAAATTATATAAAGAAGCATAAAAACAGAAAAAAAGAAAGATAAATGGATGCTCATGAAATCCTGTTTACTAGATTAATTAAGGAGATAGTGTTTTTGGCACTAAACTAATAAAATTCACGTAGAAATGGTCCAAAATTTTCAATACACATGAAAAACATCAACTCATTCTAAATTATATACTGTTAAGAAAACCTTCAGGGATATATGGATAGATCATATTCTAATAAAATAATTATAGATTGATTTAGATTTTGATAAGACTTAAGATAATGCTCCAGTTAATACTAATTTTACTGATACTTAATGCAAAGTATATCTAATTAAATTTGATGTTAGAAATACTATGGACCTTATCAATGAGATAAAGTACCATCATAATGTATAACCAGCTATTCTAATGTTTGAATGTGAATGGTATGGAAATAAGGCAGAAAGAAAGAAGATTATACAGCTTCAAGGGCAGTTATAACTTATGATTCTTGTAATTCTGTTTTATCAAGGAAAATTTTCTCCATTTAGATTAAACAATCTCATATAGCTTGAATTAAACTTTAATTACAGGAAATGAAAAAATATTGTTTAAAAAGAAATAAAATATAATTGGTTAGCCTAAGCTACCTTAGTCAGAAAATTTTCAAAGTTCATATGTTAAATATAGATAGTCTCTCTTCTTTGATATCAAGATGAGATGGGTAGCATTAAGGATTTGGGGATTACTTATGAAAGTTTGATGATCCCAAAATTAGATCATATAAATTATTATGATCATAAGGTAACACTTAGACAACGAATGTAATAGTTCTAAACGTGATAATTAGCTATATATTGGTAATTTTGACAAATAGAATTTCATCAATAAAAACTGTTTTCTTTATTATAAATGAGTTTGAGATCATTAAATTGTGATAAGAAAATACGATTTTAATAAAGATTTAAGTTATTCATAAATGAAGCGGAAATTATAAACAAAAAGAAAAGCAAAATAAATAGTGTAAAGAAGGTCTTTCCTCATTTTATTTTAAGTGTATTTGAATTTTACTCCATCAAATTAGCTTTGAGATTTGAAATTAAATTAGCTTTTTTCTTTTTACTATCAACCTTCTATAAATAATCTTTATAAGATTTTATCAATAATTCATCACAATAATCAATTTTCATAAATAATTTAACTTTTTTAATGGAGGAACTAAAAATGATCTAAGCGGCCATAACAATTCACACTGAAGTTAAATAAATTCTTAAAGGTGTCCACTAAAGTTATGAAATTATCATTTATCATAAATTTCTATATTGGCAATGTGAAAAACAACTGAAGATAATTCCATTAAGACTTCTATTATCATTGCAACAGTACTACAATAAAGTAGAAGACTTGATACTTTTTCAAATGTTTTAAACTAATACATAACTGCCGGTCTGGAAGAAATTATACATATTGAATTATTTAATAAAGTTCTGTATATTGATATATTATTATTTTTTGGCTAGGTTGTTGTTAATGCAAAAAATTATTGCATTGATTTTAAAAAAAAGATTTAACTAAAAGAAAGTGAATTTTTAATTAGATAAAATATATTTTATCGACAGAATGGGTAAGAAAAAAAGCTTTTTAAGATTTATATTTTTAAACGATTACAAGAAAAGTTTGTATTTGAAGAAGTTTTACTTCTTTCTCTTTATTTATCTTTTGTGACTATTTTCATTCATTCTTATTCTTAAGTATTTTAAATTTTAAATCTCTTGAAAAACCTTTTTCAAATTAATCTCCTATTTGTGCTTCTAGGCATCAGATTAATTTATTTAGCTTAATTCAATTCTATTCTGGAAAGGTTTTTAGAAATCTGCATATATCCATTCTTCCATTAAAAAATGGCACCTATCTTAAAGTTAACTGCTATTGCACGTTTCAGCAAAATTTTGATAATTGATTGCCTTCATTTATAGAGCAAAAATTTTTTCCTTCTTATATTATTTTTTGTTTCTTCTCAAGCTTGAACTCATAACCTTTCTGTTCGTTATTTTCAATACTAAGTGGATTTTTCATTAAAGGGAATTTAATAAATCATTTTTGATATGAACTATGATAAAATTCATCTGATATTAAAAAGCCTTTTCAATTCTTATTTAAAGATGTGTACCTTTAGGATCTTCATTCTATTCATAGTATAAGGCTAATTGTAGAAAATATATATATGATTGAGCAATTAGCCAAAAGCATGTGAGGGTAAAGTAATGATTATGGTTGCTCAAAACGATGAAAACAGGTTAAGGACTTGTGATTTTGTTAGATCTAACATTATTCAAAACGATGAAACCAACCATAAACAAACTACTACATTAAATATAATGTTATTGATCCAAATTCTTTTTTCTTTCTATATCCTCTACTTTATTACATGATTAAATTCCGTACTAAATTCAAAGTTAGAAATCAATATCTCCTCCTGATAACAAATCCAGTTTATTTTTAATGATGGATTTGAATTCGATATAATTACCTTGAAAAAATCTTGCCCTAAAATAACCAAAACACTTTTATAATTCTAAAAGCTGCATAAGTTAATGAAATTTCTTTCATGTACTTTATCACAAATAAATGTGCCTTATTTATAGGTTTGCATCAGCTATTCTTACTCAAATGAATAATTATCAACTACAATCAGATTTCTTGACATCAAATGCAATATATTAGTAATTTTGTGATAGTTTTTGCTTAACTGATGTAGAAATTATCTTCTAAAGTATAATCTGATATTTATGAAGATTAAATTGATATCTTATCTTATTTATTAACGTTCTTATTTTCTAAGAGAACCTTTTATTTTATCAAAGGTAAATAAAGTTTCTCTCCTCATACTTGTTATTGACTGCTCTTAAATTTTTGCCTGAATGATTTTTGACAATATTTTTTGAATAAATCACATTTAGTAGATTTAATAGAATTATATAATCAATAAATTAGTCCATCCTCGATTTCTATTTTTATATTATGGTTCTTTTAATATGTTTATAATACCAAATATAAGGTTTCAGTTTTAAATCAAAGATTGATAACGATAAGTATAATATTTTTGAAAATTTATTAGTTGTTGCAGAGGTTTAGCCTTATGATGCTATTATTTAAAACTTCAATATATTGGTTAGAATTTTTTTACTATTTATCTTCAGATAGATCCTAAGACTCTAATCTAATTTTTCAAATGATAATTTGGTTTCATACTAATTCTTTTTTTTTTATATCTCTTTAGGAGACACTCTTAGAGGCATCTATCATCATACGTCGACAGGCCCACCACTTTTTTAATCTTTCACAATCACTTATAATTATGTTCTAAATCACTTCAAAATTATACTCATCTGCCTAACTTCTTTTAATGTCATCCTTGTCTATATCTTTTTCCTTCCATATAACTTGTGAATTAGTGAAGTATATATTATTGGGTTATTAAATTTTGAATTTAAACAGTTTAATTTCATAAAAATTTAAATATATGATAAATTAATAATAACATTATGGAATTTTAAGAATTAGAATGGAATTAAAATTAAATAAATACAAAGACCTAAAGATATTATTAAAATTTATATTTTAGTCTATTTTCGTAACTAATAATTAAGTTTGTTTTATTAAAATATGTTAAATTTAATTGAATAAATTATATAAAAGATATCCATATTAATTAATGGAAGTAAGTATTGTACAAATAAATTTTGGAGATAGCATAATTGTGGGTAGTTTTGGAGAGAAATTACATTTTATGAATCTTAAGATTAATAAGAATGATTTTTTAATATAATATTATTTAATTTAATTTATATTTTTAGTTCTTAATAAAAATGAGTTTTGATGAAGAATAAGATAATTTATATTGAGGATTAAACATCAATTAAATTTCTGCTTAACAATAAAAATTTCGTAGATGATAAATATAAGATTTGTAAAAACTAATCGAATTATAGTTATACAAAAATATTTAGTTTACAAACACTATGATTTATTGTAAGGATTGATATAAACCTGTTAAATAATCTTAATAAAGCAAATTTAAGATTCAAATGAATTGATACTTCTAAAGATGAAAATTATAGAATGAATTTAAATATACAAAATTATTATAATTCATAATAAATATTTTAATTAATCAGATTTGATTTTAGACTGTTATTTAAAAGTAGTATACAAAAAATTATTCTAATCCTTAATAAAGTGGTGACCAGAAAGTTGATCCATTCCTTACAGCATATAAATAACCATACCTTAATAAATTTATTAAGCTGTCCATTCACTTGTCCCTTAATAATGAGCCAAACCTCATCTGGTAACTATCAAATTATCTATCCTTCAACATCGAGAGAATTTTAAATGCATACTCTAAGTTTATCTTTGCTTAGTCCTTATATTTCAAGCACTGTGAAAGAAGTTGATTCCTAATCCTAATGCCTTTTATCTGATCTAAATATTTCTATTCGAGTAGCTTGGTCAGTTTCCATAACTAATAGAAGACATATTAAGCTCTGGGCACCTAATATTTGATATTGCATTTTTTTAAATATTCATGATATATATTCTGATTTAATATTATTCTAATCACAACTTTGAATTTAAATTTGGAAAACCAATATATAAACTTTTGGAAATATCCTCCATTCTAAATTAATTAATAATTAATTTGATGGAGATTACTATTGAGTTTGAAAATCCTATTATTTTGATACTGAGCCATGTTTGATCATTTTCACAGATGTTAATTAATATTTTGGAATTCCTTTAATTATGCATCATTTAAGTTTTTATAACAATTACAAATCTTCCCAACTATTCTGAAACTTAGTCTTCTCTTTAATATACTATTCCAATGATTTTTAATTATATTATTGGTTCCAGTTATAATAATAAGAAAAACGAAACCTTTGAAATCTGAAATTATTACTCAATATCTTAAATGAAAATATTGATAGACTCTTATTTGGATGGTTATAATTATTAAAATATAATAATAATTTTAAGGTCTTTAATACATTATATTACTAATTATAATATATATTTATATCAATAAATATGATAAAAAAACATTTAAATAAGCAATTCAGATCCTTTGAATCCATACTTTCAACTTTGATCATTATAAGGTCTCAATGTATAATTATTGATTTTTTGGATACCTAATCTTAATTGGTAATTATCATTAAATATTTAAGTTATGAAAACAATAATTGTAACAAGCATTCTTTTACTAAATATTTATAGCATCAAGGTTTTTAGCAATTTATGATTTACAATGAATAATTAATTTATTGACTTTAATCAATAATTTGATTGTATTATTATAGCATATTGCCTAAAGAGATTTATTAATTTTTTTTGTTTAATAAAAAATGAAATAAACCTTTATTTTCTCTGAAATTTCTCTGTAAAAATTGATTATCCTTATTTTATTGTTTAATGTCATTCCATAAATATCAGAGAAGATTATTAACTTCTAAATTTGATGATCATAATGAGGTGTTGTCATGGAATTAATTAATTAATTACAGATACAGTATAACCAAAATTGTTAGAAAAAGCTATGATAGAGACTGATATTACATAAGATTGATCTAATTAATCATTTAAGACTTTAAATTTAGTAAATATTCTTCTCAAAAGGTATTAGAACTATAAAGAATATTATGTTTAAAATTATGATTTTTACAAATTTTGAATCTTCAGATTTAAATAGATAAAAACTAGTTATAACAACCAAGACCTACAAAATTGAATAAACATGGTCAACTTCTACTAATAATGGATATATATATGTAATGACATTAGCTTAAGAATAATTTGGAATAGTAAGTGAAAAATAATTATCAGATTTAATTTGGATTAAAATAGTAAAAGATGATGGTACTTTTAGTAAATATACCTTCAATATAGCAACTTATACGGATGTCTATAATTAAACATTTAATAAAGATTAGATCATGTGTTGCTCCTTATTTTCCAAATAAATATTTTTATAGGACTAGCAAGTGTGGATTGTACTTTAAGTGCAATATCTGGAATTGGATTTTGCTATTGGGAAACGTATTTTATGACATAATTTTAAATAATAGAACTTGTCAAATTACATGTTATATGATAGATGAGGTGGCTGCATGTAAAACAGGTTCTGTATTATCTACTGAAAGTGCATCTACTCTTTGTGATTCATTGAAACATCCAATTTATAATATGATAATGTTTGTTGTGACAAATCAGAAGGAAAACTGAATTATGGTTTTGTGAGATTTATCAAAATTAGCCTAGTGATGGAACAACTACATTGTCATCTCTAACAACATAGACTTCAGAAACTATATTTTTATTGCATACTGTAAATTTTTGGAAGGTCATGCCATCGCTTACAAGTTTACACACAGCTGCCAATTTTTAATCATTCTTAGGAGCCATTATAATTTTTATAATATTTAGAAACTGCATAATTAGATTAACCAGATTCAAATCCCTTAAATTTCAAGGTTATTAAGCAAATTACTATTTCATTAATTTTGCTTTCATTTCTTATTCAAGAAATTCAATTACATTAAATGGATAATAATATAGTACTAAAACTATTTAGACCATTAACAATAAAATATGATCAACGCTTCAGTAACTGTTTTTGTTGAATTATTTAAATTTCTTATGGGTAATGCTCTAGAAATAAGGGAAAGCATGGTCAGATACAATTTGTGCTTGATTATCAATATTATTATTAATAATATTAAAATTAAATAAATTGTGTGTATAAAATTAAAAAAGTTTTAGTCATATATGGCTTTAATTAATTTTAATACATTATAAATGATAAGTCTTTCTGAAAGGAAAATATAAATTCATTAAAACAGAGGATTAATTTAGTTACATGATTTATGTAAATCTTCAGAACTTTTAGTATTATAATTCTTCATCAATATAGAGATTGAACAATATAGCATTGCAACCTAATAAAACTAATAAGGATACCAAACCATAATCACCAAGATAAAGATACTTATTTCTTCAAATTACCTTAAATAAATAAAACTGGTTAGAATAAAATAGACAATTAATTCAAATACCAATTATAAACATAAAAAATGTATTATATTATTATCTTCTATTGAATTTATAAAGATAATTCACTTGATAATATAAGCAAATACAATAAATAAATAAAGATATCTAAGATATCTAAGATAAAAATAATCATTATATTTATAAAATTGAAGAATTATATATTTTATGCATTTATAATTAATATTTATATTCTAAGGGTTTTAGGTCGGTTAATTATTATTAATATATTATTTTATCCTATCAGGTATTTCTATTTCATTAAATAATTAACCTTTTGATTTTATAATTTACTCTTAACAATATTATTTATGTTAACATCTAATAATAATCTATAATATTTAATATATTAAATTAGAAAAATTAAATTGTTTTTAGAATTTAATAATAGATTTTATTGAATCACTTACTCCAAATATTATGAATTTAGTAGGATAAAACATATATAGCTAAACAAAATTATTACCAATAAAATTGATATTAGAAATTATGTAGCTAAAGTTAATGGTTTATTAATAGGTGATTCTTTGCGAAGTAAAAAGGTTTGAAGTATCAAATTTTGAATTAGATGATTTACATAATGAAGTTTTAATAATGATGATAAAATTTAAGATTAAAAAGATTTGATTTTTCATCTGCTTTATAAAAAATGTAATCCAATAACTCTTCCTAGAAGTTTTCATAAAATACTTGAACATATTATTCAAAGATGGGTTTTAGAGTATGAAGTTATTGAGAATGAATGTAAAAGAGAGAAAGCTGAATGTAATTTGACATTTTTAGGTTGATTAATAATGTTTAAATAAATAAATAGAATTAATTATATTAAAAAATAAACTTAAATCAATTTCTCGTAGTATAATATCAACATTCTAGGATTCATTGATGAGAACAATTATGATTATAACCAAATTAACTTATTTTTTTGAGGAGATATTGCTGAAGAAAAATTAGACTAAAAGAATCCTATTACTTGGAAAGATTTTGATATGAATGATAAAGTTTCATATATTTAATAAAAAATATTACTATACTAAATTCAGAGAATTTATAGAAAATTATTTATTTCTCCTGAATTGAAGCACCTGAATTATTTGGTGAATAAGAACAACATTATGAATAATGAATGGAAATTATAATAAAAGAGAATGAGAAGATTGTTAATTCTAATAGATAATATATTTTTTATTATTATTTAATTGTATAATTCAACTATAAAGTAATGAAAATAGAAAAATTATAAATTTAAAGAAAAGCAAATATTAAAGTTATCAGGAATAAGAAGAATTAAAAGTTAAAAATCTCGAAATCTTGGTCGTTTGATTGACGATTAAGATCCATGGAAAACAAATTAAAAATTTGTAGTAGTTAATTATTAATTAATTAAATTGATACAAATCCAAAGGCAAGAAAATTCTTTGCTTTAAGATAAGAAAAAGTATAGATTTTTCAAGAATGAAACCTGAATAAAAAGCTTAAATTATAACTCATTTATAAAAGATTACTAAAAAACATTTTGTGGAATGTGTGATAATGGAGTATTACAAGCAGCTGATTTTGGAATTTCATTATCTGATGCAGAAACATCTTTGGTTGCATATTTTACTTCTAAAATTTAAAATATATATTGTGTTGTTAAATTATTAAGAGTACCTTTAATTACTAGTTTTTAATGTTTTAAATATATGATTAGGATTTTATTTTAATTCAAATAGAATTGATACACTTATTCAAAATAATCATCAAAGCTTTGTTTTTCATTACTTTATTTAGTTTCTCCATCCAACTTAAATTCAATAATAAATAAATCTATAAAAGTATTCTAATTATGAATATATGAAAGAGTAAAATGTTACAATAAAAAATTATATCATACAATAGAATGCCATTAAAGTTTTATGATATGATAAGATAAAGATTAACATTACCAAGGAAATAAGAAATTCCAAAGATTGTAGAGGAGAAATAAATAATTTTTTAGAGTACTAGTAATTAAATCTATTAAAATATTTCTAACAAAAAAATTAGATAATGCTATAAGTTATAATATTTATGGACATTATTTAAATATTAACTAACTATATTGGATACTGGAGCAATATTTTAAGAAATTTATTGAAAGCAGATTAAACAATTGGTATAGCTTCTACTTATTTAGCAGGTTGATGAACTACTTAAAATCTATCAACAGGAATATATATTAATTATAGTGATTTAATTAAACACCTATCCCTTTATCATAGAATACTTATGGAATATATTCAATTTGATCTTCAACAGCTTAGTATTCTGCTAGGCATTTTCTCTTGATACTTAGATTCTTTATTTGACTTCTTCAAATTCTATAACTGATTTTTCATAAGGAATATTAGAGGATTTGCTACAAAGGAATTTCCAATAGCAATTGATATTAAAGAATCTAGTCCTAATTAATTAGGATTTGACTTAGATACTTATGTGAGCAACTTTGGAACTGTTAGTAGAGATTTAAGAGTTATGAATTCTGGTTCTTAAGATGTAGAATTGGAAAGGGAAATATAATTTAGGAAAAAGAACAATATCGGATTAGAGTAATATTAAAATAACATTCCCATAATTAGGATCAAATTAATTATTTAAATTATAGAAAATAAACTTCCTGTATTAAAGGATGGTCCATTTAAAGTAGTATCAAAAAAAGAGAGAATTAATTAAATACAGAAAAGAGAAACATTTTACATTTTCTACTCTAGATTAGTTGCAAGACCAAAACTTATTAATTAAGATAAAATAATAGGAGAAGTTGTGTTTTATGTAAAAAGTGAGCTATTGCAACAAATTTGAAAAATTAGCAGGAAAGGCTTTAGATTAAATTTTTGAAATGGTCTAGGGTTTTAATTCAAAATAAGAAAAGAAGTTAATCCTATTCAATAGTTAAGAATCAAATTTTGTATGCAATTTTGAAATTGAAGGATTATTCAAAAACATCAACAAATTCCCCTGAAAAATATAAGCTTAGTATGAAAACAGAAATTGCAAAAACATTTAATTTAGTAGAATTATTATTAAAATTTGAAGGGGTTATTAGCTTAATGATTCAGTTAGTTCTTACTTAAAAAAAAATATCATCATGGATAAATTAATATTTTTTATGCAAACGGAAATAAACAATCAATTTAATTAAAAGGAATTATATTGAGACTTTTTGCACACTTAAATACTTCTTTTAGAAGGAGCTGAAGTGTTGGATTTTGGAGAAGTATAGGAAGAAAAAACTATTGTAATATATATATCAAATTAACATTGATAACTGCTTATCAAAATTAAAGTTGAAGAATTATATAATTTAATGGTTTAATTTTTAAATAATTTATTAATAATAAAATGGATTCGAAAAAACAGAATTTCCAATCAACATTTCGAGAGATAACTAACCTTTCAACAGATGGAATGATTCAATTTATGAATAGTTGTATCTGAAATAATGGGAACTCAGAAAAAGAGGTTTTTTATACTATAATTTAAGGAATTTTTTTTAGTATTAAGTTAATGATCACTTTTATTTAAATGGATTCAATTGATTCTCTTAGTTCATTTATATATTAAACACTTTATTTCTTATTTCATTAAATTAAGACCAGTGTTATCTGGTTCAAAAATCCATTTTATGGATGTATTTTCCTCATCCAATTCATATTCTTCATTTAAAGATTTAGTTCTGAGTTTTGGATGATCTTTTGGTGTAATTTATCCCTTTTCAATAGCAGCTGGTAAATTTTCATGTAATGAAATAGCATAAGTATGTAAGATAGATATAAGGCTAAATTATAAATGACAATAATTTGAAATCAAAATCCCCTTTAATTTCAAATATTATAATTTTTCGATATATTCATATATGTCCATTATTCTGATCTCGATTTAAATATCTATATAGGTAAATATCTCGTAGTCATACACATTAGGAACTCGATAGGAATTGAGCTTTATAAATTGGATTATATATACAAGACTAGTATTTATAAAATGTTATGTATTCGTTGCAATACTTATTAGATGTAACAGATATTTTCGAATTCAAAAGGAGGAAACAAAACACATAAATAATTAATGAAAATGATTTACAATATAATTAATTTTTTTTTACTTTTTGCTTAATTAATCCATTAAGTAATTGTTAAATTGAAATATATATTTGTTTATTTGACTAATCGATTAGATATTTCTGCTTTAATGAATAGTATTGAAATGTTACCATATCTATAAAATTTCTGTTTAATTTTACCCTAGCTAAATTAATTAAGTAATAAAAAATAAGAGAATTCGAATCGAAAGATAAAGTACTGATAAACCAGCAAAAAACTACTAAGAAATGTTAAAACATTTAGTGTAAGAATGTTTGGGATAGGAAAATTAAATCTAAAAGGAATGATATATTATTCTTTTGCAAGAAATATTCCAAAAATATATAATAGAGGAAATTATTGTAATTTTCACGAATAATTATTAATATTGTAGTTTCATTTATTAAAGATTGACATTTCTTTACAATAACCATATTGCTAACAATGTTCATCTTTCACAGGTAGATAATGCGGATATAGTTTAGTGATTCTTATTGCAGTTTAGAATTGGAACATTTAAATCTAATGATGCACTTATATTTTAAATCAATTTCACTATGTGCCACAACTTTTAGATTAATTATTTACAATGATATTACTTTGGATGTTTTATTGACATTGAAAAATGAAATTATTGCAAATCAGAAACAATAATAATACTTATTATATTTTGATGACTGGAAGTAGATTTTGTTATGTATTAACATAAATATGTACATTAATTAGTATTAGTGTTCTTAAATGATAATAATAAAGCAACTTATTGTTTAAGAAAAGAAGGTTAATATAATGCTTAAGAGTCTTTTCTTGTTTTATTATCACTTAGCCTTTAAACTAAGTTGTCTATAACAAATAAACTTGGTGTTATTTATTAAAGGATTAATCATCGAATATTTGTGCCTTTTAAACTGGAGATAATAATTTTAAGCAGAGTACTTGCGAATTAAAATTACTCTATAATCATAAAGCGATTGTGACTTATATTTATCAGAGTGTCAATTTTACAAAAGCTACTGTAATACAAAAACAACACTTTGTAATTCATATGCAATTACTTCTACTATTGCTGATAAAATTGCATTTTTACGAATTTTAAAAATACATCAAATTAATATTGTGGATATGTAAGTGAAATTATTATTGATATTATTAATTGATATTGGATATTTATTGTTAAGCAAGAAAATCTTAAGATGGATATGTTTGTACTTATGCTAGTAGAATTTATTGTTCATAAATATATGCACCTTTTTGTTATACATTTGTCACAGTATCAATGAGATTTTCCTTTAATTGTTCATATTCGGATACATGCTATTTGAGTTCGAATTTAAATACTTGTGATAAATATTAATTTAGGATTAAAATTGAGGATATAAAAATAATTTATTGTAGATATGTATTATCAGGGTGTAATTATAAGTTTGATGATATTAAATGTTGAAATTAATTAACATTATGTAATTATGGTTAATTAAACCTAAAATTAATGAAAAATTATAAAATATAATCAAAATTTAATAATATTTAATAATAATTCTTTAAAACAATAAATTGATAAATTTTGTATAATTTTAAAGAATAAGTGATAATGATAAAAAGAGTTAATTTAAAATAGAAAGAGTTAGAATAGTTATAGTTCTTCTGATTAGATTCCTGCTCAGTCATAAATTCCTGAACATTCACTAGCCTTATCACTTTTATATTAGCATTATAATTTAACATCTATCTCTCCCTTTAAATTTTAAAGCATATCTTAATATGTGCATTTCTAATTTGATAGGTTTGGGATATAATTACAGAAGCTTGCTTTAATGAAGTATAAGTACCTAAATTATAATAATTATCACAATAATTTATCATTGTGAAACAAGAATTAATATAGAACTGCACCCAAATATAATTTTATCCATCTTAATTTTTGTATTCTCTCCAATAATTTCTCTTTCATTAATCATCACTATTTCTAGTTTAGATATTGGTGCAATCTATTGTTGCCGATGTCTTACTCATATGTATAACTTTTTAAGTTGCATGTTGATGAATTGTTTATTAGTGCATCATGTTCCATCATAGCTTTATGATATATCATGTTATATTAATTAAGAATTCTCAAAATTTCTCTGAAAATAAAACATATTTTATTTTAAAATAAAATTAAAAACAAAAGAATCATTTTATCAAAGAAAAAATTAATATCAAATAGTGTAATGAATTAATATAATATATTCCTAAACATAAAAATACATATAAAATGCATTATGATTTACAAAACTAATCTTGAATAATGAATATAAAGTCAAACATATCTACAATAGTTTATTAATCTTCTACATCATTAACTCCATTCACATATTTAATTAAAAAAAAATGTAGTTATTGCTGATCAAATATATAAATAATTATTAAGCATTTTAATTAAAACACCAGATTAACCTTCTTATATAAATGAAAATGCCTTTATCTTGCTAATACGATACGAACTTTTATTTTTGTTATGATTAAAAGTTCAACAGGGCTTTTCACATAATAAAAATAGATACTAATGTCCTAATAAATCAGTTATAATAACAGTGATTTTGTATTATTTTTCTATACAGGATCCACATGAATATTTAGTACTTGTTGAATAATGTCCTTCATCTCTTAACTTTTATAAGCCACACTCTTCATACTAAAAGACCTTTTTAACAAGAACTGTGATCTTATTAGTTTTTTTATTATATCTACTTCATTTAAACTTCCAAGACAATTATCGATTTTGATTACAATATTATATATACTTTTCTATATTGATATATTATTTTTTGATACAATAATATATATTTACTTATTTAATCGGTATAAATAGTTAATATCCTTCAATTTCAACTAAGCTGATTTTTTATTTATTTTAATTAGAAATATTTTGAACACAATATTCTAAGATCAAACTATTTATCATATTACTAATTTTTTATTGATGGATCAGCGTATTTTAAATTTAATTTTATTGGAGATATTTATTTTTCTGATAGACATATGAAATAAGAATCATATTACAAAAATATTTGAGAACAATTTGATTCCATACCAATCTAATTTAATTAAGTAATAATCTCAAATTAAATATTATTAATGAAAATTTTAGAATTTTATCGCGTATTATTTAAGGCAATTACTTTTTGGAGATGATTAATCTTAGTATTTTCATTGATTGAATTTAAAGGTTTTTGAATTATGTAATGATAGAAAAGATTCTAAATTTATATCAGAAATAATAATATACTATAGTATTGGCATACGAAATCATAATTTAAATTCTTAAATACGTCAAAGCTTATACTTAAGAATCACTTTAAATGCTGTAGACTTTAAATTAATAACTTAAACAATAAACTTACCAAATAATATTACTTGACCATAATCCAATGAATGCAAAAACATCTTTGAGATAAATATTTATTAATGAAAGTTAAATTTATCCATCACGATTAATTATATAATTACTATTTCTTTAGCATGGAACAAAGGATTTACATAATATCCTTTTTCTTATAAGCAATCAACAAATTTATATAATCCTAAAAATGTATAAGTAGAAAATTGTGCAATGAAATCATTTAATATTAAAGAATCTATATCAACAAAACTTAATTCCTTATTTCCACTTCCTTTTCGAATTTTAAGTGACTTTATTTAAACTTATTAATAAGTAAACTAAGGAGATCTATTGCAATTTCAAGTAATTCAATGTTGGATAAATGATTTCGTCTTATTATCTATTAATTATAAATCAATAAAAATAATTTATTTATTTTCTTGGTGATATTTTTATTCAATTAATATAAATTTAGAGTCCTCATAATATTAGTTTATCTTAAAGAATATATGAAAATTACTTTACATTAATTTTCTAATTTATAATCAATGTGGAATTTGATAAAAGTTAATTTTAATTAAATCATAAATTTTTTATCTTAGAATTTGAATGTTCAAATTAAAAACTGTAGATTTTTAATAATAGTTTATGAAATAAAATAAATATTTATAATGATTGTTTTTTCGGATTCTAAATGAAAAAGTTTGTCAACATACTGGATATTATAGTTATTATATCTATAATTCATAATTCTAAATAGAAATATCATCCATGTTAGTTAATCATAATTACTAATTAATGGTAATAATTGTGCAAAAAAATTCTTTAATTCGACTGATGCATCATTGTTTGTACCATATGTAACTTGAAATCATTATATATTTTATAGGAAAGCAATATGAAATAAAAGTTATTTTATAATTCCAATTTGAATTGGCTTCAATTTGGAAATATTATTTAAGAAAAAAATATTTTTAGTGTTTCATCAAGTTTCACATATTTAAATTTTATAATTGATGTAGATCTATCATATGAGAATTTTGTACTGTTAGATAATTATAGTTTTCACATCTTTTTCCTTATATCAAGAGTTCAGCATTAATAAATAAGATGTAGAGAAAAGGTGTTTTCACTGAATTTTTATTGTTTTCCTTTATTACATTTATGAATGGGTTTTGTTAGCTAACAATTTTAATAGAAATGATTTAGATAATTTTTGATTGGCCAGTAAAGATAGATGAGATTAATAAGCTTATATTATTTAAATAAATGATTGATACATTCTTCTTTAAAACTAGATGATGAAAATAAATCGTAATTAAAATATTGGATTGCTTGAATTATATTTTTTATCCTTTCTTCACTTTATCCATAAAATTTCTATTATATTTATCAATATCAAAATGTAAATTTAGAGAAATTTCTGATTTCATTTAACATCAAGCATAATTAATTGAATATTCTCATATATCCCTTTAAATATTGATTTGAAGAATAAGAAAACTCTTGACAGGAAAAATTAGGGTTAATTGATCTGATTTCATTCTATTCTCTTTGAAGACATAATGAACATTCTTCAAAAAAAAAAGAGATAGATCCAAGTCCACTTGAATCTTCTTGGCCAATATAAGCATACATTTTGAATATAATGATCAAGTGTTGATATGTAATTTGGACATTCAATATCCCCAGAGATTTCAAAAATTAAGTTAGACTCATTGTAACAATAATTAAATTCAAATTTAGCATTTTTACTTATAACTTCTCTAACCTAAAGTATTCTATATTTTGAGAATCTTTCATTTAGAAAAATTCATTAATTAAGTAATTCTTCTAATATTATAATATCAACGTATAGAACAATTTAATCCAAATTTCAAACATTTTCTCCAACTGGCTCCTATCTTAAAAGAGAATATAGAGATTAAGGAATATATATATTCTCCATTTACATGTTAGATGTATATTTGAACATTATTCGTATTATAAGTGCTTTATTTAGTTCACTAAAATATCCTTCTTTGTATTCAAAACAAATAGATTATTATACATTAAATTTTAAACTTGATAATATGCATTAATTATTTTAAAAGTAATGTTTCTCTTTACAAATAACATAAACAGTATTTGACAAATTTTTTTAGAATGAAATTTAGAAAAAATTTGAGAAATCATCTTCTGGATTACAAAATTCTTATAATCCTTAAATAATTAAAGACTATTATCTTCATTAATTAGATAAATCGTACAAAAGAAAGATGTTGATTCATTTATAATTTATAGTGGAGTTTTAATGTTTCCTATAAGCATTTTAATTGATTTATTATTGTGTAATGTATGAGGTTTTAATGCCAAGTCATTAAATTGAATAGACAAACAAAACACAAAGAAGATCTGAAGAAGATTCTTATGTCTTTAAAGTTAGAAAAAAATAAATAATACTATTTAATACAATTTTGAGTGTAAGAGGTTAAAAATATCCAAATAAATATCTTAAATACTAATGTTGGATAAATTTAATTGAATGATAAACATGTTTTCTCTTTTTCTCAATATCCCTCATTTCACCTGCATTCATTTTATCTTCAATTAATATTCTATTTTGATCTTGAGAACAAGTAAGAAAATTATTATACTAAGGTCCATTACAAATTGAATAAGAATAATTGTATTCTAAAATTTTATATAAATAAATATACAGTAAATTTATTTTTTATCAGATTCATAATTATAAGAAAATTTGAATTTAGAGATTTATCCCTTTAACCACCTTGTTTTACAGTATCACTTCAAAATAAATAATGTGTTTCCTAATATCAGATAATGTATTTGGTTATTTCTTGATGAATATCCTTATTATATATTGATGCTTTAATAACTTGGCATTATATTCAATTTGAATATTGTAGAACTTCAGAACCAAAGACAATTTTTATGTTAAAATACTTTGCAGGTAATTTAGACAAAGAGGATGATACCAATTCTATTGAACAGTCAAGATGGGCTCATTTCTTCAATTATTGTTAGTTAAATACACTAAGTAAATTAATAATTGCTACAACGTATCCTAATTTAAAAAAAATGAAAAAATGTAATGAAAATTTCAAATTTAAACTGATATTATGAATTCATCTTAATCTCTTGATCAAATAATTTTGAATACGCAGCATCAACTAAACTATTTTTTTAGAAAAATTCTATTTTTTCTTTATATAAAGGAAAAACATATATTCAAAATTATAAATTTTATAAATCTATCAATAACAATGTATAAATTTCTCTTACAGATAAGAGGTTTTTTCATTTTATTATTTATATACTATTAAAAAGAAACTTATTTATTATTATTTAATTATTTATTTGTTAAACTGCAGTTTATTGTGTGTTTTTTATTCAGAAACCAATTTTTTATTCAATGTTATTTATAAATAATTAATAGTTAATTATTCCACTAATATTATAATAAAAAATATCATATATGGTTTCAAAAAAAGAAAAAAGTTAAAAGTTAAGATAGAATATTATATTTATTTTTTAATTTTTAAATTAAGGAAATTCAAACATTTTGAATTAGTATATATAGTATTTAATATTAGGTATTACTTTCATGTTTATATAAGAACCTAAACTAAATGTTCAAACTTTCATAGAGTTATAAAGATAATTTATTTAAATTAAGAAAAAATAATGATATAAAAAAAAAATTATCTTTACTGCAGATAAAATATATCTACTAATGTCTTTTTATTTAAATTAAAGTATTGGTTAACATACTCTGGCTTTATTTATGAATGAATTTACATAAATAATTGTAAGTGCTTTAAAATAAGTAGAATATGAAATTAACTATAGATAAGATCCTCCAAAAATGAATAAAAATTATTAATACATAAAATACTTTGTTAATTTTGATGTTAATCATTATTAGGGGTTTAAACCGAATTTAGCATTTGCAAACTAAAAAGTTAGGTTATGTTTTAAATTTATAAGAATATCAATGATGATAACTCAAGATTCTCTAATGTCACCACTCTACATAAAGAAGAATTATGAAAAAAATAGAAATCACCTTAATGTACTTTTTATTCTGATTGTTAATCAATCAAACAAAATAATCCTCAGTTAAGAATCATTTAAATAAAATACTTAAAGCTAAATAAAAATACAAGTACTCATAAAAAAGTATATCTAATACATCTTACCTCATTAATAATATATAAATCTTATATCTAATAAATAAATAATTAATTATGAATTTACCTAGTTTCTCTCTTTAATAATTATAATTGATATAATTAGAGAAATTTTTTATTTCTTTTTATATTAATAAAATATTATTTAAATAAATAACCATTACAGTTTATGAAATAATAAATATTAGCAATAAGTTCTTAAAACAAACTTAGAACCTTAGAGGGTTCCTATTTCAATCTAGTTTAATGAGGATTCAGCATAGATTAAAACTTAAGTATTAAGAATAAGGATTAAAGTAACCTTTATATCATCAACAATAAACTTAAATTTGATCATCTGAGAATGGTATATATCTGCATGAGATGGTTGGCTGGAATTTATCTGGACCCAAGTACAGACTTAATCATTATTGTTAGAGTGGATGGGTCAATTAAAAGAAAATAAGAATAAGTATTTAGCACCTGGTAGAAATAGAATAGAAGTTCTGTATTAGATATTAAAATTCATGATTATTACTTTTAAGATTTTTACATGAATTAGATAAAGAAGAATAATTTTTTAATACATATGGCAAAGAGTTTATATTTAAGACTGATTAATAGTAAATATAGAAATTTAATTTTTAAGATATCTAATTATATTTAATATAGATCAATCAAAAACTATGAGATAATATCCATTTAATTTTGTGGATTCATAATTTCTCCATCATTATTTTCTATTTAATGAATACTACTTTTTAAATATTATCTAATAAGAGTCTGTTAAGTCAAATTTCTTATCTTTTCAGGCTTCAAATATGGTTGAAACAATCAGTTTAAATCTTAACTTTTCCATAGTTCTGATAAAAAATATTAATAATTTTAAATTTATGATATTTATTTAAGAAAATATATCTAAAGAATTAATTAGAAATTTTAGAAATTGAATTTTTTGGAGGAAAAATTAAATGAGCGAATATTAATTTTATTGTTTAAGTTTTTTTATTATTGATTTCTTTAATATAATAAAATAAGGTTATTGTTTTTTTGAGTATTAATTTTAAAAATATGTTGAATTATATAATTCCTAGTTTTAGTAGTATAGATAATTTGAATTAAACAGTAAGATTATTTGAAAGTAAAGGGATTTTGAATGAATAATATATATTACGAATTGATTATTATTAATGTAATGGTTTTTATGTTGGAGAGGCTAAGGAATATTTTCTGTTGATAATTAAATATAAATTGAAAGTATAAACAAGAGTATATGATAATTATAATAATGACTAAAAAAGAAGAAGAGTTTATAGTGAGAGTGCTATTAAATATAATAATAATTAATGGGATAACAGCGATTGAATGCAACCAAATGAACATTAACAATTTAAGATTCAAAATCAGGAAAGAAATATGAAATGCAAATTTCTAATCATTTTATTAAGGCAAGTGATTTAGAACCTGTCGATTGCGTATATTTTGCATTCATACAAGTCATCTAAAATTATTTACATTGATGGAGAAAATGGCATTCTTGAAAATTGAGGTTACTTCATCGAGAAGCCAATCTAGCTTTATGGGGTTAAAATAATATAGATGTAGTGTATTTTGCTATATTCTTACAATAGGAGTAAAAATCAAGGAAAAAGTAAATTCACTGAATAATTGGATCAATAACAACTAAAACATCACTTGAATATAAAAATAGAATAAGAAGATAACCAAATCAACCACATTAATAATTAGGATATGTTGAAAATTGTCAATATATGATGGATAGACTTAATGAATCAAGTCATACTCCTTATCTTACATTTAAGTAATAAATAAATTGAATATTATTATTTGGAGAAACAAGTTTGGGAAAATTTCTGCTCTTCATTGTTCAAACTCTAAATAATATTTGTAGAAAAATTGACAATAAAACTGCTTTAAATAATTTTTAATCGTCTGAAATAATGGTATTTATATTAAGTATAGAGCAACTTAGTTAATATTAACTAAAATTTTAACGCAAAATCTTGCTTAAAATGCTTATAATTATGTATTTTATTATCAAAACTTATAAACTTGTGAACGCTCAGGATATAAACTTCATTAAAGAATTTCTTGTAAAGTAATTTCAATTAATGATAATTAATAAATTTGCAGATGTCTAAATAATATATATAATGGTTATCCCCGAAATGAACAAAGATTGCCATATTAACTAGATGAGAGTTCTGGAAATATTTCTATTCTAAATTATCTTCCATTAATTCTTTTAATCATATTATCATTGCAGTCGTTGTTTTATTGAGGACGCATGCCATTTAAAATCTTCATCATCATAAATATCTAAAATTAAGGTTTACATATCTTTTTACTATTAAATCAAGATTATTCGAACTACCTATTAAATTTTCACTATCAATTTGCATCTCAATAATTTAATAATTCAATAACAATAATTATATTTATCTATAATAAAATGATTAAAAAGTAGGCTAATTATGTAATATATAATTAACTAACAATTATAGTATATGGGAATAAAAAATAGTACCCAAAGAAACTTCATTAAATAAAATACATTTTTTAAAAGTTTCAAATATCGTTTAATGATCTAAATGATTGAAGGCCTTTAAATTATATACTCTGGTACTTCATTACCGTATCATTTATGAGAAGCTGTAAAAATTATTGCTTCACAATCATCACTAAATAATTTTATCATCTTTTCAGCAAAAGGCCTAATATTGATTCGAGCATTAGCTTTTTCTCCAGTTGAAAATGTTTATAAGTAACACTACTTTCAAACTCATTCTCTCTTCTTCATTACAATGCATTAATGTTTCATCTAGATCAAAAACTACTGTCTTCTTAGTTATATAAAATATAATATCACCCACAATTCATATTTAGAGGGTAGGATGCTAATTTTGTTTGATTTTTTTCATTATTTTTCTTGTCTTCATTATGCATATTAATTATACTATAACAATAATTTTAAAATAGTCAAAATTATTTTTTTTCATTTTTTACAACTATATATATATCTTGGGATAATTAGATCATTTTTTATAGAGATCATGTAAGGTTTGAATTGTATTTTGTTATAACAATTTTAAGTAGGATCTTTACATTCTCTTACAATATTATAATTTACAAATTCCTAAAGTTTTTTCTTGATTAAACAAGTATTATATAAATTTCAATCTTTAAATTCATAAATTTTTTCTCGTTTTAACTCTCATGCCTTTTTAATACCCATTAATATGATTCTATTTTATTTGAGTATTCATTAGTTCTTATTGTATGAGCGACTTCTTCAACACTTTTAAAAATTTGTTCAAAAAAATTGTAAATTGAGTATGCCCGATTATCTCTACTCGTTTTTTTAAATAACATTACTTCATTGAGTAGTGGATTTCTTATATGTTTATATAAAGCCCTGATATCAATCTTTGCTCTAAACAATAATCCAAATTTTTTCCATTTAAAATTTAATCAAATATCTCTAGACTAAATTTCAGAAAAGAAATTATTAAACAATTTATAATTAAATTATCATGAGAATAAATGAGTCTATAGATGAGAGATATTTTTAATTTGACCTTTCCAGCGAAGTTTTAGGAATACAAATTATTTGTAAACAGTTAATCTATAACAGATATTAAAATTTAAGGTTGTTTATATTACCAGTTCATAAGAGATTTAAGAAAGTTATTCATTTATTTATAAATATTCTTCTTAGTTAAATATTCAAAAGTATCTCAAAGGGATTAACTATTATAAGGTGGTTTAAAGTGAAAAACACAGCCTGTTTGTTACTTTCTTGAGACCTCCTTAAGTTTAAGATTTATTAAAATTTAGGACTACACCCTTTTATAAAGCCAAATTAATCTTTAATTACATATAGCTAATTCCACTACTATAAATTGGCTTTAAGGTTAGAATTGGGCAAAATTAGTCAGCTTAAGATAGGATTGGTCAAGATCAATAAATCCAACTTCTCAAAAATTTAATAGAGTCTTTGTGATTTAATTATTCCATAAATTCTATAATAGTTAACAATTAAAGTATTTATTAGTCTATTTTTTAGGATTAAATATTTAATCCCTTTATCTGGAAGATCAGATATTAATGATTTAATATCCTATTATTATTTGTATAAAATAGACGAATTTAATCGGGAGGGAATATTTTTTTTAAATAATATAGTTATATTATAAATTTTAATATCTAGTAAGCTTACATGTTTAGTAATAAACAACTATAAATTTACACTGTATCAAGAATTTATTATTTACAAATTACTAAAAAGCCTTTAAGTTCTTAGAGAGAAATAGATGAAATTCTAAATTAAAAAAAAATCTTAAAATTAAGAGATATAGAATTTGATTGAAAGGGCAATTACTCTATTGCCAGCTATCTATTTTTTAGTTCTTATTTATATTTACATATGGCTTCTTGTATTTGGCAAATAGACAAATAAAGCATTTATAAATAGTTGAATGAGAATATTTAAATGTTCTGAATAATTACTTAATTTAGTGGCTTATGGTTCAGAAATATAAAATCAATCATCAATTTCTAAATGATTTTAACAATAGAATAGATCTCAATTAAGATTGTTGCACTCTCTTACTCTATTTATATTTTATCAACAATAAATGGATCACGCTGTTATTGTTAGATATAAATAATATGATTAGGAATATTCCATTATTTTTGAAAGAAGGAAGATCTTAGTATAAGATGGAAAAGAATATTGTTTTATGAGGCTTATTCATCCAACTAACTAACATTTAAATTAGATTAATAAATAATTTCTCATTCAAAACTAGTTATTATATATTCTAATTTTAATTTTCTATTATGATGAAACTTAGTAACTAATTCTTATGAAAGCATGTGTTTTTGTTTAGATTCACTATTTTTTTACGTAAAATAAAGAATTGCTAATTTCTTTATCCATAGCATATGATTTATATACTGTTTCGCCGCATATAAAATAACTAAAAATTTATAACTTAGCTCATTTCCTTTTATCCCAATTCCCATATCTGTTATGAAGGTTATCTTCCCATATCATTTCTTTAAACTAGCAAATATTGTAAGTTCATATTGTAAATAATAACTATTATTTTTTTTAATTATATCTGCTATTTTAAATGAAACATTACAATTCTTATTAACTTGTGTGACACTGTTTTCAAATATTATTTCATCATCAAATATGTTTATTTATTATAAATAACTAAGCTCTGTAATTAATCTTAGTTTAATTGAATTTAGAGCTAAATAAATATTAGAGCTATTCATCGAACTATCACTTAATTTTAGAAGGTATCATATATTATTTTAACAAGTTCCATATATATAATTATATTGCCTTAAGTATCAAGAGAATTTGTTTAAATTAAATCTAGTCTATCCTGTACTTGGATAATTAATAAGTAGGTTATCTACTTCACTAAATAATGCAATCTTATTGCCTGATAAATAAGCTATTATCTTAAAACATTATTCAAATGATTAGAGCATCCTTTACATTTGAATACCATCTTTGATTGCAAATATAGATCTTTTAATGATTCTTAATTCTTATACTTAAATAGAAGGATACATCTTGCTCGTATTTTTGATATAGTTTTATTTAGGTTTTGAATTTCAACATCATTCAATATGTGTTTTCATTCAAATTATCAAATTTTGACATACCTAAGATAGTGTTATTCATCTTTGTAAGTTCGTAATAATTATTAAATTTCTTTTTATTAAGTTATTTTTTGTATGATTCATCTTATCATAATAATAAAATTAAAATCTGCAAGTTGTCTTGATCCCTCTTATTGTTATGAATTCTACATAAAGAGGTAGAATCTGACAATATACTAAATTTTTCAAATTTCACTATCACTTATCTTCTTTTTTTTGAACTCTTAATATCAAATTTTTCTGAATTAAACTCCAATTTGTGAGTAATAATTTTAATTTAATCAAGATATTCTATTTATTTAATTAATTTATATCTATTAATGATAATATTTCTTGTATATTTTTCAATAAGCTTTTTTAGATTAGTAATTGAGTTTACATTCTGAAAACATCAAATGTGATCTTTCTAGATACTAGTAAAAGTTCATTTTTAATTTTCTACAAAAAGGAATCTACTCTTGTTGAGTTTATGTCTCCAAATTATTTTCAAAGAAAGAGAAGTAGATTGATCTTAATCTTCGTTTTTTTGAGAAATAGTAGGAGTGTCTTTAAATTATCCCCTATTATGATTTCTGTCTCTCATTTATTAAAATTACTAATTTTTGAATAATTACTTTCTTTTATTAATACTTCTATAAAATCTGTTGTCTTGCACTGTCATATTTCTTGTATATAGATTCTAGATTTGCTCAAAATGAACTTCGCTAATTATTCTTTAAGGTTTAAATCGAACTGTAAAATTACTTAAAATATTTTTATAGATTGTGAAATTCTTGATTTACATTAGTTTGAAATGAAAAAATGCTTAACAAATGGTTTAGCACTAAATTTTTTCTTTGTTCTATCGATCTTATCTATTATCTTAACAATCATTTTATCAGTTTATATATATTCAGATAGAGTTTTGTCCTTTAAAAGACTGATACAATATTTGAATCTTATGTTTGGAATGTAATCTAGACAATTTAAAATTTATCTAAATATATATTATTCATTTTATTTCTATAATTTTGAAATTTTTTTGTCAACAAAGGCATATAATATATATATTACAAGATTAAATTAAATACTCCTTGCTTAATTTTTTTAGAATTTTGTTAATTAAAAATGTTTATCTTAAAAAGGATAATTCAATATGTATTAATTTTAATTCTCATTGTATTAAATAGATTATTCGATGAATCGTTGTTTTTAGGTTACTGTATACATTTTTCTATGTCAATTGAGAATGTGCATATATTTGCAAGTTTCGAGGCAAAGAAGTATGATGCGCTTTTTATTTTTTTGAGGAGCAAGATCCAATTGATTATACTAATTTAATTTAAAATATTATTTTAAAAACCAAAACCCACTTGTATCTATCCTTTAAAACTATATGAAACACTTATTATTAATGTAGCTGTCAGATTCTCATTAATCTAAACCCATAATTATCAAAGTAGAAATATATTGATTAGATCGTAATTGTTAATTCAAGCAGTTAGCATAAAAAAATAACTAGTTATTTTGTTAAATTATATTTTTAATTTAAAATGCAAGATGATAAATTACTTATTAAATATTAACAATAGGTTACAAGGATCACTATATTTTCTTACACATTTAATCAACTAATTCTTAAGAACCAACCCTTAAAATAGATTTTGTTAATAGTTGTAATAAAAATGCCTAAAAAGTTATCGCTTAATGGTTTTTGCATTATGAAAGATTATAAAGATTAAAATCCTGTTAATCATATATTTGAGATTTCATTTATCTTTCAATGCATCCAGATTATCATTTAATTTATATTTTAATATCTATGTTATTAAATAAAATTAAATATTTTATACATAAATTATACATTTTATTAATAAATTTAATATATAATTAGAATATTCTATTTAAAAAAGAGAAAGTTGTCAGCAGAATACCTCAATAGGATGCTATTAAATTATTTCTGGAAAATTTTTTATTATCTAAATTTGCTTATCCAAAAAATATATAAAGGAATAGTTTTAGAACTCAAAACTTATAAAAAGGGGAAAATTATTATACCTATAATAATTTGAATAATAATCATAAAATAAATAAAAAAATAATATATACGTTTAATAAATAATTTATAATATACTACTATGGATCATAGCTAATAATATTAATATACAGCTATGGAAGAAAGTTCCTAAGAGAATCCAAGTTTCTAAAAGAGAGGATTTAAGTGTGTTATTTATGTATATTATATGCATAATTTTAAAATTCTTAATTTTCTTAGATATATCCAAGAAATGATGTTAATGTAATTGTGGCTTTTCTATTATGTGCCATATTCGAAAACTAAATAATATTATTAATTAATTGAAATGTTTATGGATGAGATTTAAGGTTATAAATTTTTTTTAAGGGCTAAAATGTTATTTAGATTATTTATCAAGTTCTAAATTTAAAAAAACTATTACATCAATTTAAAATTTGAGTTGATTAAAATAAAAACTCTTTTCAAGCGGATTCAAAAGTTTTAATGACATCATTTCTAAATTCGACTACCATAATCTAAAATCGATTTTTTTATTTTGAATTGGTGAAATATCCTTTTTTGCTACTAAAGATTAAACACCTGTTAAAATGATGTAAACTTTCTCAATCCCTTATTCAGTTGAAACAGAATCAATAGATGGTAATTCATCATTCAGCCAAAATTTTGATTTATTCAACCATCCTTTTGAATTTATCCATAAATTACTTTAATTCTCTTTAGATTAGAAGTTATCTTATTTTATCATTTTATTCTTAATAAAATAAAGGCTCTTGGAGTTATATTTACAAGCTTATCTTAAAAATCTGCCAAATATATATTAATATCATAAGCATTTAAATGCAATTTCAGAACAACTTTTAAATGCTTAATATTAACGAAATATTTTATCTAGTTCTTTTATATTTCTTCTTATTAAACTTTTATTTCATCTTAAAATTTAACTTTCTCTTTCTCCATTTTTTTCTCTTTGAAACTAAATCAAAAGTAGCTTTGGGGCAACCAAATACATACTATTTTGTATCCAAATCTTCTTTCTAGAATCCTCTGAAACTAAATTCATCTAATATTTTCTATAATTCAAAGTATTTTGATGTTTCCATTTTTAATTTATCAACTTCATTAGCATAAGCTCTATGATTTCTCTTAATTTTTTCAATATTTGCAGGATTCTCTCTAATTTTACTTAACTTCTGTAATATTCTAAGAAAATCCTGATTGTCTTCTCTTTTGCTCTTTTTACTTTATATCAACTTAGAATTTGCTAATCATAGTATATTTTTCACATGGCTACATTTTGATTACTTTACATCGATGTTAAAATATAAAACTTTAACAATATTTTTAATTTAAGTTTTAGGTTCTTCCATAAATCAATAAATATTTTAATGATCAAATATTCTATATATTAAATTAATATTCTTTTTATTTATAGAGGTAAGGAGAATTTATTGTCAATAATTTATTAAAAATGTAAAGCATTTGTAATTGATTGGATTTAATTGATTGACAATATATATAATAATACAAATTGATATAAGGTTTTTATGATAGATCAAATAGGTAGGTAGTAGAGAAATATTAAAAATGATTAATACTTAATTGCAATAGCAACTCAATATGCAAAAATTTTAAATAGCGAATTAATTGGTTGATTCACTATAATAATTTATAGATTTGTAAGATACTGTGAATAAAAATAAAAGAAATATGTGGTTAGAAAATTAAAAATTAAATGGAAGTGATTAATAAATGGTCAAGAATTTATGAAATTAGTAAGAGTACTTTTAAAATATTATAATCGAGTTCAAATAAATCATAAAATAAACTTAAATTTTGCAGTATATTATTTATATAAATTAATAGTTTTGTTAAAAGATGGCATATTTATTAATTACCAATATTTTAAAAGAGATGATGAGAATCAAAGAGGAATGACAATTGAAGAGATTATGATATTTCAAAAATAATATGCGAAAGAATTAAAAACACTTAATGGTTGCGATATTAAACAAAAGGAATCAATAATGGAAGGATAAGAACATAAATTAAAATTAAATAACATCAAGCATAAGATTCAATAAACTCCATTTATTAACCCTTAAGTAATATTTATACACATAATATTAGAATAACGCCAAGTCTTTATTGAAATTCGTGAAACCAATTTTAAGAGATTCTAAAATAGTAAATAAGTACTGAATCAAAAGCGTCAGAATTTTTATGTAAATATTCTATTATCATCAAATCCTAGTAAGCTCTTTGATTAACCTGGATATAATAAAATTTCTATTACATAATTAGGAATTTAATCTAAGCCATTCATTTAGATTCTCTAAGAGAGAAGATCTTATATTTATGTTTCAAATCATTTGTAATCTTGGATTCTTAGAGTCTGTTGAAAAGAATTAAAATATCAAATAAATCAAAGGAATTTTGAAGAAACCTTAAGAAAATAAGCCAATTAAAAAGATGTTTCATCCTATCACGTAGTTTAGGATATATAACCTAAAATGCAATAATTGGCTTAAATGTTAAATAAATATAAAATTTTAGCCTGGAATGTATTCTTAAGGATATTAATTTATATTAGTAACTTTATTACTTGATATTATACAAAAATTAAAGGAAATTGATGAGGAATAATATAGAAAATTTAATCATTTCTTGAAACTAAATTGAATGACAAAAATAAAAAATAAATAAAAAAATGCATTAAATCTCGATTAGAATTAAATCTTTTTTTAATTTCAAAGATTAAGAGTCTACAAAACAAAGCATTGTCATAAGTATTCTTCTTATATAATTTGTATAAGAGGGGATAATTATAAGTTGATTGATGATCCTCATAAAGAAGATCTGTTCCGATTTTTAAAAATTAGAATTTCTTAAACAAAACTCTCTATCCCCCTTGTCTTCAATGTAATAAAATCGTTCCTCCTTTACTTCAATAACTAAATCCTGCCATATTTATAGGAAGACTAAAATAATATGATAGTTTATGTGTTGATATTTAAGATCAATACATAAGTAATTTATTTGTTATTCATCAATATTTTAAATTATATGCTTCACTAAATCTTTGATAAAAAATAAAAGATTTTTGTTACATACTATCTCATTTTTTAACATCTATATCTTATTTATTAATATATGTTTTATTAAATTAAAAAATCATTAAACGACTAAATTCTAATTAAAAAATTAACAATTGGATGGATATGTGTAACTGCATCAAGTAAAAGCTAAATCATGAGAATGCTTACAAGATATCAATATTTAGTATTAGAATGGATTCCTCAAAGGTTTAAAAATTTTCATGAAAGAACATATAGGAATTCATGAAGATGGCAAATAAATTTTATAACTGAGGCTAAATCTGCAGTGCCATACATTCATAATGAAGGAAATGTTGAAATAGAATAATGTTGAAAATATTATGATAGCAACCAAAATGGATGATGCTGAATCTAGATTGATTAATTTTAGTTTAGCAAATAAATTCGAGAAATCAAAATTATAATTAATGAAAATTACTATTTAATTATAAGATATTTAAAATCTATTTTTTGTCTAATGTATATGACTCTGAAGTTATATAAAGAAATATGATCGAAAACTTAATATTTTGTCTCTTGGTTTATTATTGTTTACATAAAGTTCTTATCGATTTCTACCATAATAGAAAGATACATAGATTTCATTGTTTAGCATAGTTTCTCTTCCTTTGACTTTGTTTTTGGCAATCTTTTTGATTGCATACTATTTCTCAACATTATTTCGCCTTATTGCTGTCAGAATTTTACCGAAATCCCCGATTCTTAGAACTTTACCGAATGAAAATATTTTATGTATGTCTGCAGTTGACCTAAAGATGTAATCTATGTTGTTGTTTACATTGCAACAATTTTATTTATGCCTTTAGGTTAGAAACAACCCATTATTTATTTATTATTATATTGACTAATTACATATGATTTCTAACAGATTTCAAATTCTTTTGAAATATATCTAAATTTTATTATGACTCAAAAATTATATCTAACAATAAAAAAAATTAAAATTCATATGTAATCTATCAATACATTTAAAAGATCTTAGTTTAATAAATGCTCCATATAATGGGCTAATCTAGAGTAATATATGATCAGGCAAACATATTTAGTATAATATGCTGAGCAAAATATGTTAAAACAAGATTTGAAAAGTTTATCTTGACTTTGCTTAATAAAATATACGGTTTAACTGAAAGAAGGATTATAAGACATTACTCATACAGAAGTTTATGATTTTAATGGTTTTATTTTATAGTAGCCAGCCTAAATTGAATCTTGGATAAAAAAATAAGAATTAATAAGAATATGATGCTTACCAATATTGAAAAGATAAACAGAAAGAGGCATACTTTTAAGATCTCCAAAAGAGAGCATTTATTTATCAATATTAATATAAATATTGATATTAAGAATAAATTATATATTTCATAAAAATGAAGATTATAATTACATTTGTATGAATCAAATTAATAATTTAGATTTAACATCACATTAGCATCATTAAACTCTCTTTTAATATATTTATCAATAAAATTGTGATATAAAGTCTCATCATGAGTTTATGAAAATTTAAATATGATTACTTACTATTATTAATTTTGTGAGACTTCTCCTTAAAAGGAGAATATACTCAAATAATTTCATTTGAGTTTATTTATAAAATGTTTCTCACATATTTATAATTATTAGTCATTACGTTTAGCATTCTAGTTAATGTAATTACAAGACTTATTATTATATATGATTTTCCTCTATTCTAAGCTTTTGAACAATTATTTATGTAGTTAATAATTTCTTCCAAAAACCTATTTCTTTTATTTTTGATTTAAAGTATATCTAACTTGAAACTCTTTCAAAAATTCATTAAAGGATTATCTTCTCTTTCTAATAACCTCAAAAAGAAAGTTACTTCTAAGTTTTTTTTAAGAATGCTTCCTTACATTTGATTATAATGATTTAATTCTTTTTTTTTGCCATTATTTTTCAATAAGAAATGATTTTATTGTTAATAATAAGTATTCTGGTTAATATTAATTCTATTTCATTTTAATAAAAATAATATAAATTAAGATAGCAGATGCTAATTTTCCTTTATTTTATATTTATTAACCATTTGTTTTTGAGAACTTTAATTCCAAAATCTAAAATTAACTATTTATTACTCCTTTCAAGTCAAGATTATTGACCAAAAGCCAAATAGTATTATTACTTTCATAAAAAGTGCTGTTGCATACTTCTTAATCATTATCATTATTAACAACTTCACATGATTGAAAATATATGGCCAAAATTATTATAAGCTGCCATTGTCAAATACAAAGAGCAAGCACCTGAATTTACAAATTATTGACATATTATAATGCCTCATTATAAATATTAAATTAAGATTCTTTATCTGTTTCAAAACTTCTTCTTCTATTAGGTCTAAATAATTGAACTCATCTTACAAGCTTTTTATCACAATTAATATCAGTATCCATAATAAGTTTTTATTATTTTGAAATTGTAACAGCTAGAGATTACTAGAATATATTTAATAGTAAACTAAAATAAGGAGTTATGGTGTTTCAATTAATTAATAGTTCATTATAAAAAGTTTACATTTTAAAAAAGGAAACTTCATTAGAATAAATCAATTAGAAACTTTTTGGCAACATAATGCAGCCAAAGATTATGTCAAATCGGCCTTCAAAGCTGAAACAACTACTTAGTCTTAATGATCTAGAGAATTTAATTAATCAATAGTTACTTTTTTTTAATAATTCATATTTATATACTCATTGAACAAATTCTTTTTCAGTTCCATATGTATATAAACAAATTTTAAATGATGAAAGATATCAGACAATAAGAGAAACAATTAGAGCTTAATGTAAATATTTTTATGGTCAGATCTAGATATCTAAGAAGAAAATAAAATCATTGATAGCCACAGCCATTAATATTTTGAATATATATAGAACATTTTAAAATTTCTGAATACATTTCCATATCATTGTTTAGGTTAAGCAATAGAGATGTAAGAAATCCATGTTAAAACACTATATTTGGAAATACTAATAATCAGAAATAATTAAAGTCTTTTAGGATATACATGCTGCTCCAATACAATTAAGTAATAAACCTGCTATCCAATTTTTAAAACTCAAAGTCAAAAAGGCTTAATACCAAATAGGAATTTTAACGCTTCAAAACACAATCTAATTTATTTGTAGGAGAGATGAACATTGACAGCATGTAATTATGATAGTATTGGAGAAATCTAACATAATAATTTCTTTTTTTCTATTTAAATTACAAAAAAAAAACGTCAGAAGAACAATTTAACGAAACTAAAGAAGATGCGGAACCTTGAAAACCTGTAGGTTTTAAGGATGATTCATAACATACTGAAATAAAAGTAGCTAAATCTACATATGTAAATGATATATCTATTGGAAAATCTTCAACGAGTAAATGCTTTTCTACCTGAAAGTTTTACCTGTGCCTCCTCCTGTTGAAAATGATGAACTTAAAGTTTCAGCTGACCTTAATTAATTTCCAATTAAATTTGCTGGAGCTAATGTACTAGATGAATAACCAGTTGGAGGAAGAAAAACATTTGCTATTAGTTTATACACAGAAGCAATGGATGGTGGAGGAGAATATATATAATAGACAGTTCTCCCACTTGGCTAGGGTTTGAAGTCAAAAGCATGGGAATTGAGACAGAGTATGTTTTTGAAGAAATGGCAGGACTCTTTCAGAAGCCATATGAATTGCACATATCAAGAAGATTGGAAAAAGATAATTGTAGATTGAAGAACATAGAAGTCCATGAATTAAGAAAATTGGATAGTCATACTCATTATGTCTATTCAGTATGTTTCTCACCTGATGAAACTACTTTAGCTTCAGGTAGCGACGATATTTCAATCCAAATAATCATTTTTAGAGAATTTCAAAACCAAAAGAAATACATCTCCTATAACATTGCTTGCACTTTCTAAAAATTAATCTCCAACAACATGAACTATTTCTGGAATTATAATTACAAGTATCTTTTCAAATTATTATAAAAACGAATATCAAAAAATTTAAATTCAAATATACCCTTTTTTCCTAACAACTTAGGATTTATAAAAGCATTTGCACTCATATTTTAAGCTATAATTTATGAATCAGCTACTCCTAATTCTAACACTAATACTTACTTACTTTTATTAATGTTTCTAATTTCTCATCCTCATAATCCTCTAATTCTTTATTTTCACCATTCTCTCATCATTTCAATATATTTTTTCTCTTCCCCTCTTTACAGTTACCAATATTTTATCAGCCGGTGTTTCCTTACAAAATATAACTGCTATAACTGAAAGAAGTACAGATACAATAATCATTCTAAATTGCTTTCAGTTCATCATCTGCTAACCATAGGAATCTAATTTAGTATAATATTTCAAAGAATTTGTTCTGTTATCTTCTAATAAATAAGGAATTTCTTTTAGATAATATAGTAATAACCTTTTATTATTTAATTCAGTAAATTCTTTACCAATATTAGTTTCTTCAATCTTTCATCAATTTAAAGATTATGTGATAATTTATTAGGAGGTGAGATTAGGATAGACTTTCTTTTTTAAATCATATTAAACAGCCATGAAAATCTTCTTTAAAAAATTATATCATCTCCTTCACTAATTGAACTATTAATCTATAAGCAATTATTCATAATCATAGAAGTTCTTTATTACATCATTTTTATGCTGATTATTGTGGACAATATTTGTACTAGATTTACTTAACATNTACTAGATGAATAACCAGTTGGAGGAAGAAAAACATTTGCTATTAGTTTATACACAGAAGCAATGGATGGTGGAGGAGAATATATATAATAGACAGTTCTCCCACTTGGCTAGGGTTTGAAGTCAAAAGCATGGGAATTGAGACAGAGTATGTTTTTGAAGAAATGGCAGGACTCTTTCAGAAGCCATATGAATTGCACATATCAAGAAGATTGGAAAAAGATAATTGTAGATTGAAGAACATAGAAGTCCATGAATTAAGAAAATTGGATAGTCATACTCATTATGTCTATTCAGTATGTTTCTCACCTGATGAAACTACTTTAGCTTCAGGTAGCGACGATATTTCAATCCAAATAATCATTTTTAGAGAATTTCAAAACCAAAAGAAATACATCTCCTATAACATTGCTTGCACTTTCTAAAAATTAATCTCCAACAACATGAACTATTTCTGGAATTATAATTACAAGTATCTTTTCAAATTATTATAAAAACGAATATCAAAAAATTTAAATTCAAATATACCCTTTTTTCCTAACAACTTAGGATTTATAAAAGCATTTGCACTCATATTTTAAGCTATAATTTATGAATCAGCTACTCCTAATTCTAACACTAATACTTACTTACTTTTATTAATGTTTCTAATTTCTCATCCTCATAATCCTCTAATTCTTTATTTTCACCATTCTCTCATCATTTCAATATATTTTTTCTCTTCCCCTCTTTACAGTTACCAATATTTTATCAGCCGGTGTTTCCTTACAAAATATAACTGCTATAACTGAAAGAAGTACAGATACAATAATCATTCTAAATTGCTTTCAGTTCATCATCTGCTAACCATAGGAATCTAATTTAGTATAATATTTCAAAGAATTTGTTCTGTTATCTTCTAATAAATAAGGAATTTCTTTTAGATAATATAGTAATAACCTTTTATTATTTAATTCAGTAAATTCTTTACCAATATTAGTTTCTTCAATCTTTCATCAATTTAAAGATTATGTGATAATTTATTAGGAGGTGAGATTAGGATAGACTTTCTTTTTTAAATCATATTAAACAGCCATGAAAATCTTCTTTAAAAAATTATATCATCTCCTTCACTAATTGAACTATTAATCTATAAGCAATTATTCATAATCATAGAAGTTCTTTATTACATCATTTTTATGCTGATTATTGTGGACAATATTTGTACTAGATTTACTTAACATTTTCTTTCTGATAAATCTACACATTTTTGTATGAATTAACATTATTAGTTTATATTTATCTTTATGGTACTTATGTTAATTAGAATTTTCTAATAAATTTTCTTTTTTCATTTCTTATGCTAATAATTTTTCTGCTATTTTTCCAAAAACTAAATTGCTTGTTTATGTAATTTTTACAATCTCACCAATCTTACTTCCTGCACTACAAAAATAATACTTAAAATAACCTTTCTAATAACAATGCACTCAATGGTGCTCCTTCACTATATTCCTACTAATTTATATACTTTACAAATAAAAGCAGAAAAACAACCTCTATAAAAAATATGTTCAAATAAATTGCTTTTATTATTCAAAATTTATCTAATATAATATACCTTTTGTATGATGGCGCCAAATAATACTCTTAAATCATCTCTAAATAATGCATATACAGTTACAATAGTCATGAAAATCATATCATTAAAACTTTCTAAAAAGATTACAACTTTTTGCTAATAAAAATAGAAGCATTTATTACTCCCCATTTAAGATTTATCTCCTAGTTTATGTTCTAATGTTCTTTAATCCTAAATTCACAAATTTTCTACTTCTATTTCTGATTCACTAGTTCATTTATTTGGAATAGATCATCCATCTTGATAGTTGCTTTATCTATCAATAATTTTTACTCTTTATTAAATATTTCTAATCAGTAATAACTTTCTAAGGATAATTTATAAACATCCTCATTATAGTTGTAATCTCAAATAACTACAACTACGAAACAATGTAATTTTTTTTTAAATATTTATAGCATTTTCTATGATGATCTACTGTGGAGTAAAAACGGTGACAGCTATAAAATATAGATGGCTTGCTATCTAAATAAACCTAGATTTCAGAAAAAACAACTTTAACAGTTTCTGTTAGCATTACAAAAGATGCCAAAAAGTTTGTAAACCTTAAATAAATTGGTTATCAGGTTGTACTAGGAATTGAAGATGTCCTCAGAAATCAGGATTGATTTCAATTACAGGTGCATTTAGCAGCGAAACAATTCCAATTTAAACTAATAGTTGGTTTTTCGAGGCTCTTCAAGGTTTAAATTATCAATAGTAAAAATATGAGGATAAGAGCAAAATATACAAATATAGCTACAATAGTATCTTCTACATAGGGCACATGTATAATTATAAAGTATATATATAGGAAGTCAAGATGAGACTCCAAATACTCATGTACAAAAACAAATGAAGCACAGTAATGTCAAGTAGAAAAACTATTTGTAATTTAAACAATATCCCAATAAGTTATCTAGAATTATTAACGTTAAATTAAATATATACCACAATTGAAAATTATGAATATGCCGTTGATAAATCAGATCTACCTTTGGATATGAAGATTGAATTTATATGCTTAGAAGGAATGAATATAAAAGCATCATTCAATAAATGTAACAACCGTAGCACTTAAAAATCGCATTTATTTGCATACTCTTGTTCTGCTTAAATTAATTATGTTGGATTTTTCCCTAAATATATCCTATATTTTAATACATTAATGTTTAAAATAAGAAAAGCTTTCAAAACAATCATAACAGATGCCATACTAACAGATGGAACAATCTAGATACAAATCTTTTAACATAAATGACATCCATCATCAAATATGAGGTTGCCATCATCACATTATTCACATGGAGTAACATATTAATCTCCACAAATAGAATAACACATAATCTAGAACAGTAGTACTACAATCTAAACATAAATTTTAGCATCTTGGCTAACAATCTAAACATCCTCTATATGGTAATTAAATATTAGATTGTTCAAGTTAAGTCTTGATAGCATCTCCAAATTGAGATTAACAATCATAATCATTGGACAAATAAAAGCCTTATTTACAAGCATAACATCTAGTGTTTATACAGTTAGTAAAAATACTTCCATTTTAGCATTCATTTTTATATTAACTACTGCAACTATTTAAGATAGAAAGAGAAACTATCTTAAATATATTTCCATAATCACAATATTCAGAATAAAAATGAGACTTATCATAGGCAACAATTGCATCTCCACAATTGTTTTTACAGAATGAGGAATAGGGTTTAAATCCAAGAGGATCACAATCTAAACAAGTTGCAGTTTTATAATCACAATTGGACCAATCACTTTTGCAATTGAATCTGCAATTTTAACATTCATCAACATTAATAGATGTCTCATTTAGACAATAATCACTTTCAATTAAATATGCATATGCATTTCCTCATTTCTCATAACAATTTTAGGAAGACATCAAAAAACTATTTTTGAATAGTTGTGTAACACTTTATACACATATACCTTTTACACATTTTGTACAAGCTTATGCACATTAAAATTTACAATTGTAAAATCCATCAAATTATCTATCATTACCATCATCACATTCTTCATTACCATTAACAATTCCATCTTCACTTGTACCTGAACATGGTAATTAGGTTGTTTAATTACAAGTTTAACAATCATTAGGACATTAATATTAGCAATTAAAGCACAAATCATCTAAATCAAAATTTCCATCTTCACATTATTCATATCCAACTATTTAAAAATTTCCACATACACGCATACATTCACCAAGAACAAGTTAAAATCCAGGATTACATGATTAACATGTTACTGAATACCAAATCAAAGTATTATTTGAACATAATTTATAACATTGTGTTAGTGATTAATTTCTGTTATGGGACAACCTTAAGTTTAATATATATTTTACTTCCACAACTATTACTTTATTCATAATACCCTGGATTACAAGAACATTGTAATCCTTTTAATATTCTATTTGTTGTTAAATCACAAGATAAACAACCACTGATTTTTGTTATAAAACAACTTAGACTAGATGAATGACATGCAATACAAGAATTTGAGGATCATACCTGAAATACATTAACATTTATTGACTTTTGCATTTTTAACAAACTGGATTAGAACTTACAGAATAATAACCATCTAAACATACACATTATCCATTATGTAATTGGTTTTATTTTCAATCAAACATTCTAAATAATAAGTATCACTCAGACATTGATTACATCGATTGGACATTCATAACATTAATTATTTGCTTTATATTAATTCATTAAACAGCTATATCTTTATCTAATCAGACTATATGTTGATATACAACTTTAACAATTTTGTGTGCAGATGTACAAGTAAGACAAGTTGCAGGACAAGATAAACATTTCTATTCTTAATATTTTCTAGCTTAACATGATTTCTCTGTAAGAAATTTTAGTTTGACTGAATTATAATTTTATATTTTAATGAAACATCTATATCCCACAATGAACAAGCATTATAATTTAGACATTATAAACAATTTGGCTAGCAATAATGAACAATAACATTATATCCATATACTCCACAATATGAATCTTAAGGATTTCTGTTACTACCTGAACATTCCCAATACAAAGTTAATGTATTAGAAGAATTACTATGTATAAATTTCATTGTTCCATCATCATTTGTTCTAGATTTTATTATTGATTACTTAGACTCAAAAATGTAAATGAATTAACCATCTGATGGAAAATTCTTACCATATAAAATATAAAACCCTAGTGTTATGATGTGGATTTTTAAGTTAATGAGTTATTTTAAATTTTTCTTAACTCCAAACAAATTATCCTCCAAAAATATACTTGCCTAACCAAAATGGATAACAGATACAGATTAAAGATTAAGAGTTTATAATTTAATTATTATAAAACTTATCCATTAATTGTATTTGATCCTTTTAAAAAGTTTACAGATTTTTATGAAACTAAAACATACTTTGAGGCTTATTGTTTAAATGAATATTTATTAATATATATAATGGATCATTTATCTGACTAAAATACTCATTTTTTATTAAAAATTTGGAATCTAGCTAACTTCATTAATACATTGAGTTTCTTAATCATAAGAATCACAAAAGTTTGAATTTATTGTTTCGTAATATCCATTGCATGGAACACAATTCTAACTTAATTAGTTCAGTTAATTCTACCTTCACTTGATATATATAATCCATCGTTACATACTTAACATATGTAAGGTATCTCACAAAATTTACAATTGGATTAACAATATCCTGAAGATACCTCAAATTCTCTTAAAGTTCATCCTGCAGTTGCAGTTCTAATGAATTTATCTATTTAATATTTACTTGTAATTTCCAAATGCTGTAAATACAAAAGAATATTTTGGAATATCAACAAATAAGAATATTGTAGATATTTAGCAACTAGTCCATAGAGTAGAGCATGCAAATTAATCTACTTGATATAATTTGGTTCTGTGAAATTTCTTACCTTCATTTGTATTTAATATTGATCCATAATAAGTATTATTAATTTCAAATTTTATTCCTCCTCCTATAGGAATATCATTATAAAATGATATCATCATTCTTATTCCTATCAAACAAATTCCTTATTAAAATTAGGATAAATCAACAAATCGATAAGTACCAGAATTTTTAGTGAATATCCCGTGTAATAATCCTGTATTTGTTTAATCAAATTCTGAACTATTGAACAAATCTGAAAATTTTATTGAATATCTCTCTTCATTCGGAAAAATCTATTCAATAAACAAAGCACTTGCTTGAATTATTAAAAAAAATATTACATTAAAATACATGTACTATCATAATTTGAACGATAATAAAAACCTAAGGTTGATTTGCATACTTTCTCGATTAAATATTAATCGTTTGAATATTACTAACAAATATTATTGACAGGCAATCCAATATAATAGCTTGAGCATTAATCATAATCTACACTATTACAAGATTAACATAAGGATTACAATATAATCTTGATATATAAAAATTTCTTATTGAAACTTTTCCATTATTGATTTGATTTGTATTTAGCTCCACTATATTCTTTTCTGATTAGGTAATTTCAAATTTTACAGTTTTAACATCATTTTTTCTACTATCGCAAATCCATTTGATTATGAATATTAATTAGGTGAAGAATACTAAAATTGATAATTAAATCCTCTTATTTTTATATTTATATTCTGATTTGACCAAGTACCCTAAAAAATAAATTCCCTTATATGTATTCTCCTGTAATCAATTCTACTTCATTTTCACTTACTAAATTTTACTATTATGAAGAGAGAGTTATATAGCCAGTACAATCTATAAAATATGCTATTTTTGATTATGAAGGGACATTAAAGCCTCCTACATTTATTCCATTAGTAAATTTTTAATCCTCCCAATAATAACTTACTTTTCCAGTTGATTAACAAACTGAGAGTTATAAGATATCATCAAAGCTAACAATGATGCTTCATTTTTTTTCATTCTTAATAATATTTTAATTAGATATTTATAATTATGCAAAAAATTTTATTTATGAATGTTAAGGCAATCTCTTTAATAAAATTAAAAAATATCTTTTAGTTTTGATATCATTAATAATTTCTATTATTTTTAATAAATTGTTTCATAAACATTTTTTCAATTTTCATTATTAAGAAATAATCTCAATAGTATAAAGAAGTTAGTAATGTAATATAATTATATTTAAATTTTGAATAATAATTACCCTAAGTATATTTAAATAATTTTATCATGTTCTTTATGGGTTACAATTCAGCATATTATAATCCCTTGTTTAATTCAAATTTAATGTTCAATTTCATTAGTACAAGCTATAATCCTATTTCACTAAATTTTACATTTCTATTTAAAAATAGGGAACCTGAGAACGATCAGTTTCGGATAATTTGTTTATTTTGGATTTCAAGCTTCAAAAAATTTTTTTGATTTATCAAAATTTTTTCATACTTAAACCGATTTATTACAGTTGCTTAGTTAATATCGCTAATCTATCGGTTTAGTTTTTGTAACTTTAATTCAATAGAAATCAAATGGATTATTTAATGATAGTTGTGCTTTTCTTTTAAACAATGCTTTTTGATTATGCTCATTAAGAATCAATTTATTTTTTATTCTATGAATAACAGTTATTTATTTTTTTAAGCATTATCAGTCATCACCCATTTATTACTAAATCTAAATAATATAAAAAATAATGGTTAGATTNTTATATTCTGATTTGACCAAGTACCCTAAAAAATAAATTCCCTTATATGTATTCTCCTGTAATCAATTCTACTTCATTTTCACTTACTAAATTTTACTATTATGAAGAGAGAGTTATATAGCCAGTACAATCTATAAAATATGCTATTTTTGATTATGAAGGGACATTAAAGCCTCCTACATTTATTCCATTAGTAAATTTTTAATCCTCCCAATAATAACTTACTTTTCCAGTTGATTAACAAACTGAGAGTTATAAGATATCATCAAAGCTAACAATGATGCTTCATTTTTTTTCATTCTTAATAATATTTTAATTAGATATTTATAATTATGCAAAAAATTTTATTTATGAATGTTAAGGCAATCTCTTTAATAAAATTAAAAAATATCTTTTAGTTTTGATATCATTAATAATTTCTATTATTTTTAATAAATTGTTTCATAAACATTTTTTCAATTTTCATTATTAAGAAATAATCTCAATAGTATAAAGAAGTTAGTAATGTAATATAATTATATTTAAATTTTGAATAATAATTACCCTAAGTATATTTAAATAATTTTATCATGTTCTTTATGGGTTACAATTCAGCATATTATAATCCCTTGTTTAATTCAAATTTAATGTTCAATTTCATTAGTACAAGCTATAATCCTATTTCACTAAATTTTACATTTCTATTTAAAAATAGGGAACCTGAGAACGATCAGTTTCGGATAATTTGTTTATTTTGGATTTCAAGCTTCAAAAAATTTTTTTGATTTATCAAAATTTTTTCATACTTAAACCGATTTATTACAGTTGCTTAGTTAATATCGCTAATCTATCGGTTTAGTTTTTGTAACTTTAATTCAATAGAAATCAAATGGATTATTTAATGATAGTTGTGCTTTTCTTTTAAACAATGCTTTTTGATTATGCTCATTAAGAATCAATTTATTTTTTATTCTATGAATAACAGTTATTTATTTTTTTAAGCATTATCAGTCATCACCCATTTATTACTAAATCTAAATAATATAAAAAATAATGGTTAGATTTTACCAATTCTTAAAAACCGAATTTTTTTTTATTAAACAATATATAATCACCTCCATTTAAAATCAATTGGCTCACCTTTTAAATTAATGAGGTTATTATTTTTACCTCATTCATATTTGAATCCTAAAAACATTAGCCAACATAAAAGTAATAAAATATAATTCATTTTCAAAGTATAAAATAAATAATTGAATAATATCTAATTTCATATATAATTGAACTCATAAGAAATACGTCTGGCCTATAATTAGCCTTTAGAATTATTTAATTAAACCATTTATTAATCTTGTAATTGTTAAAAAGTGAACCAATTAATATTCAATAACTTAACAATAATTTGATGAAAATTGTTCGAACATAAAGTGAAATTATTCCGAAGAACTTTTACAATCATTTTTATCTTGATTAATCATTCCTATATATAATTTCTTATCTTCACAATTTCTCCCTTTTATTTAATTTATCTAAAGTTAAAAGATTTCTAATTTTCCGAATTCATAATTTTATTTTCATCCAATTATGACTCTTAATTAATTTGAATTATTATTATATTTTCATAATAAATTGCAACCTAAATTTCCATGCACATCTGCAATAAGAATATTTCTGGTGTCATTAAATTAGAAATCTAACATCATTTTAATTTATATAAACAGTATCATTACTTCAAATTTAATGTCTCTACAGATCTCTTTGAATATTTTGATTACAGATAATGAAGAATTTTAATTATTTTTGAATCTTTTGTTTTTAAATGCAGTCAAATAACTTAATTATTCAAATTTAAAAATCTAATTAGAAAATTTTTTTTTTATTTATTATTAAATCAGTTTTTCCAATCTAATTTTAAAACTTGATGAAAGAAAGATTTTTATTCCTATATTAATCAGATGAAAATATTACGATTTAAAAGATAAAGATCATCTGATACTTAAGGATTCAGAATTAAAAGATTTAAATTTTGTAGTTTATAAGAATCATTTAAATTCATCATTAGAATTATTTTAAAGAATTTCAAATAAAGCTTTAATATTTAAAGAAAAATTAAATTTATCGCAGTGACTTAAGAATTAATTATATTGATCAATTAAACTTAGGTAACAATTACTTCAACTTATAAGAATTATTGGAATTAATTATACATTCTTTTATTACTTATTTATCATTTTTACAATTTTACGATTTATATGGGAAAATGCGAAATTGAATTTTTCAATTGAGATCATTCAACCGTAAGGAAAATAATTGAAAGTGTTATCAAACTAAATTGCTTTTGAATGATTCAATGAAATTTTCATTATTATTGTTAAATAATTTTGATATATATTTAAAAAATATTAAGATTAACATTCCTACCCTACATATAAAAAGAGGTTGTTTCCATTGATGATTACAATCTTATTTTTTAAAATACTTGTATAGTTTACAATAGAATTTAAAGACTACTAAATATGAGGTTTCTATTTATTATAAATAAATTTGTCATTAGAGTTTTGTTATCCCAATTTCATCAATTAAATATAGAGTAGATGTTATAATTAGTAAATTTAATTTATTTAAACTTTTATGAAAGAGATAGGATTAGTAAATTCAATTAAAAGTAATCTATTTAATTAAAAGTTTATTTTTAAAGCATTAATAGTAATAATGATCAACTTTGCAATTAATAGATTATTCTAATTGAAAAAAAGTATGATTCACTTCCTTATTCATTTTACTTTTAAATAAATTTAATTAAATTTATGTGACATCCATTTTTGATAATGATAATATTTTTATATGATTGAATATGGAAGGAAATAATGATGAGCATAATTAACCACCACTTTTAACAGGTATGTTGTAATATTTTATATATTATTAAGTTTGTTAATCAAAAGTATATATCTAGAAGGAGGGTTAGAATGTAAAAACATGATTATTAATGAAACACACTCTATAATCCCACTAATCAACATAAATCTTCTATTTAAAAACAAAAATTGATGAATGTTATTAATATTCAATAACCAAAAGTAATGAATCATAGCCACAGGATATTACTTTATTCTATTCCTTGCTCATACTTAATCCATAAAGCGGTTGAGTATGTTCAGTTAATGTTTATATACATATTCCATTATTTTACACTTTAAAAACTCAGATTCCAAAATTTTATTGAAAAATCATAACTAGATGAAACTAATATATCCTCATTAGAGTTGAGAATCAAACAAAGGATGCGATTTGAATGATTTTATAATTTTTGTAGATATTTTTTCTGATTAATTAGATTTTTCTACCACATAATTATCTAACTATTATTAGATCCTGAGAGCAAATAGCCTGATTTAAAGAAATTGAGAGTGGTTATCACTTTATTTTGTTTATTCAACTATTAAATTAGTTTAAGCATTCCTTATTTGAATTGATACACATTAATAACAGAATAGAGTTATCATCATTGATAGCAATAACATAATAACAATTAGTTTCTTATTTGATAAAGTTTCAAACCAATAAATTATAAGAGAAAGCATCACCAGGTGACTCTAATGGCATAAATTATTTATGGATCAATTTATTAATTAAATATTAAAATAATTGAATAAAACATAATAATTTTATTGTATTAAAAAAATTAAAAATAAATTATCATAATTTTAAATTCCATTTTTTGATAAATAAATCATTAATTATTAATAGTGTAAAAATATTTGATGGAAAATGTAAAATAATTAAATCCTTAATAAAAGCATTATCATGTATTATTTTAAAATTTGGATACAATCAAACTTTATTAAGGACTATTTTTATTGTTTATAAATACTTCCAAATATTTTCTAATAAATCAATCCAGGGACCATCTTTTAAACCTTTTGTATTATAATATCCTTGTCCACTTATAAATTGAGTATCTATAAATACCATAATGTTGTTTATCTTAATGGATCTTAACATACATAAGTATCCCATCTTTCTTATTTTATTCCCTCATAATAGGATCCTTTAAATATTATTTAACATTCACTAAAAGATTAAATAGAATAATTAAACTTCCAACTATTCTCCACATTCCAATTTGAACTCCTTATAAATATTATCCTCCTCCTTAAAATAAGTTCATGTTTAGCTTTTCATTTAAATCTTCCAATCTCTTTCTTTTTCTTTTTTCCATTTCTATACTAACCACTAGAGAATATTTAACATAGACTTAATTATTAAATAAAAATACTCACTAAAATTATCAAATCTAATTCATTCCATAATCCATCCTTCAAAGCTCCAAAAAGATATATACCACCTCCACTATTTCTATAGAAAAGTAAATACATAATTATTTAATTCTTTTTTATTTACCAAACTCCTAATTTCTGACATTCTATTATTCTCCACAATAAGTTATTTGATTAGTCCTTTTTTATTATTAACTATTGAAATACAATTCATAATTTGAATCTATATCAATCCATTCACCAATCTTAAGATTAATTTACATAATTTAGAATTATTCTACGCATGATTTTCTAAGTTTTTTTATCCATTATCCTGATTTTTTTCCTTTTATCTCTATAATAATTTAACATTTTTTTAAAATAATTAATAAAATAGTAATTACTCTTTAAAATTTTTATAGATTTAAATCCAAATCCAGTTTTCTACTTTACTCATAATTCCAGCCTCCACTACTTATTAAAATATTATAACAACAGATTTTCATCTTTATAGGTTATTATCCATTCACCTGACTTTTTGCCATTTATATTTTATCCTTTAATTGTAATTTAACATTATCTAAATTAAATATTAAATTACTCATTATATTTCTCATATAATTCAATCCAATAACCATTCTTTAATCCTGAATCATTATAACATCCATAACCTCTGATTATTCATTATATTAATATTATGATTAAGTAATAAATACTACTTATTACATTCACTAGGTTCTTTCCATATTTTAGTTTTCTTTCGATTTATTTAATTTCCTCCTCCTCTTTAGATATCAAACATAAATTCATAATCTGATCTTGTAAATAAATATCCCATTTTCTTTGGTTTATCCATTTATGTACATTAATTTGCAAGAACTAATAAAATATATATACCAATTTCTTAATACTTATAAAATTTAATATAAGGTTCTATCCATTCACCAATCTTCAAACCATTTTATTAATTATAATTCCCACCTCCTCTTAAAATAATTCAAAATATTCAGCCGTCTAGATTCAAATTAAGTTTCATTTTTAATCTATGTTTCCCAAGTACCAGATTTTCTTCCATGACCAATATAAAATACTTAGTTTTTACTACAAAAATAATAAAATAAATACAACTTATTATAATTTTTATGCAATTCTACCCAAATTCCTACCTTTATTTCTAATAAATCATATTAACCCTCTCCTCTTTATAATTATAAATATTAATTTAACAATTTAAATTACTTAATGTTAAATAATTAAATTAAATTTATATTATTATATACTTATGATAAATCTCTAATTATTCAATCCATTATCCTTTCTTAAATCCTTATTCATCATATAGACTTCCAACATTTAGTTTTTTACCCGACCAAAAAGCATTCCATTGACCAATTTTCTAAAATTCTAATCCATATTATCCTTCCATCTCATATGTTTTACTTATTCTAAGTTTCTATTTATATCATGAATCTCATTTAAGTTATGAATATTATCTCTAAAATTATTTACATTTTTAATATTTCTCCATCTTTAATATACCAGAGTTATCCTTCATCATTTAGTATTTGATTTGAAAATGTGTTAACCTTAATCTTTGTTGAAATAAAATAAGGCCTGATTAATTTTAGAAATTTTCATTTTAATTTAATATTATAGAACCATACTAATTTAATATGATTCAATTTAATTACTTACTCCTAATACCGTCTTTTTTATAGTAGGTCTGGTCTATCCATGCTTATTCCATAAAAAAAAATGTATTTGTATCTACTCATACTCAATTGGAAAATCATCATCAATATTATTTGATATTTCTTCATACCACTAATTTGTTTGTTTGAGTCTCCAATATACCTATTTATTTATTAAAATATGAATAAATTAAATCGAATTTTTTCATTATTATTTAGATAATGCTATATTTTATTTTTGTCACTTATCTCAAAATTTATTGTAACAAATTTTTGATATTTTATGAAGATCTTTTAATTTTATTTCTAAAGGATGCTTCTGAAATAATTCTTTATATTTGTTATCTTTTAATTTAATTCCTCCAAATATAATTTAATTTCAAGTATTAGCTCTCACAAAATTAAAGAATTCTTAACTAAATTTCATTTAAATCCATTGTTATTTTTTTTCAATAAGAAGAATATCGTATTAATATTCCTCAATATTATTAACTTCTATATTTAAATTTTGAACATATAAATCTATTGGGATTGTTTTTTATTGAGGATAAATTTTTTAATGCTAATATTAACTTAGAGGACACATAAGTTTTTAGCATTTATGATTATAAGTGCATATATGAGTAATACTTTGATTCCCATGTTATTAACAAAGATTATTCATTGTAATTAAACTTTTTTAATTTTAATTGAAATCAAAAAGAAAAACAGATGCTATTCTAAGCTAAATATTTATTATAGTTTGAATTTATAATTTTTATTATTGAATATAATAATTTTAATTTCAGAAGAGGTCATCTTTATGTAGGACAATATTTAATTATATAGAAGCATAATAATTGATTTATAAATATAATTATTATTATTCTTTGGTAATTCATTAATAGTTTTTAGAAATGGATTGATAGTAAAACGAAACTTAATAATATGATCATAATTGTAAATGAATGAATATATCTTTTTTAACATGTCAATTAATCTTCTTAAAATATTTCTAAATAGTTAATTAATTATAAAGGAGAAATTCTTGCCTTAATAACTAGTTAAGAATTCTAATTAATTAATCATATGAATATCATTTTTAAGAAAATTAATATTATAAATCATTTGTTCGAAAATATAACTTGAATATATATTTAAAATATCCAATAAAGTTAACTTCTAAACTTAATAAAGTCTTGGAATAAGGAAAAAAATTGATTATTTAAAGCTGTTGGCCAATCTTATGAATTAGTAATGATGACTTTAGTAAAATTATTTTTTTATTTTCCTACTATACCTTTAGAGATTGAACCACTCTATAAGATATTTATTATAATTGAATAATGGCAAAGAAGATAATAATTCTAGACTGTCTGATTTATGACAAAAGACCCAACCAATCTTCTAATTTTTGTTGAAATATAATTTCTTAATCTATTGTTAAAGAATTATATGTTAGTTTTAACAGCTCCATAGTTAAAGTAATATGTAAGAGAAATTATAATGAAATAAAAGTCATTAACCAAGTCATCTTTAAATTTAATTTTGTTAAACTTAAAAAACATCTTGATTAAATTGTTCAATCTTCAACAGTAACAATAAATCCTATAGTAATACCAATCAATCAACCAGAAGCTATTATTTTTAGAGAAATGTTAGTTGCATAAAAATTAATTATTAGCACTAGAATATATTCTAATAGAGTTAAAATAAATTGCAAATTCAAATAAAAAATTTTGTCTTTCTCCTCAACCATAATCAAATTTAAAGAAAAAAATTGATTATTAAATAAATTAGCAATAAAAACAGATATATTGTTAAATTGTTAAAAGCTCAATCCAATTTTCTATATAACACTTATATCATCAAATATATGATATAAGATAATAGATAGTTTGAAAATTTATCAAATCGTGTTTAAAATAAAGCTTATAAAAAGACAATATCAAATAAAAGTTTGCGCAATCTAGTAAAATTTTTTAAGTAAATTTAATAGACTAACAGAATTTATAAAAGCTAATATTTTCTTCATCTTTTTTAGATTATTAAATCCGTAATTAACACAATTAAGATATTCTTCACAAAAATAAAAAGAAGAAAAACATTTTAAAGTAAACTATGTTTATTTATAAATTGTTAAATTGATAAATGTCCTTTTTTTGTTTTGCTTTCAAATAGAAATCTGTTAGAAGGTTTTAATTGATTTATTCACTAGGACTACCAATTACCAATAATAAATATAGCAATATTCAATAAAGGAGAATGGAAATCTTATTATTAATATTCTTAAAAGACTGTATTATGTTACTTTATAAAATTTGATTAAGGATTTCAATTAGAAAGTAATTTGATGTAGGTGAAAATAAGTATTATTTTTTATAATATATACTTAATATAGAATGTAGTTATAGTTTATTTTATCAAAAATGGGTTTAACTTGTAATACACATAAAAAATAAATCTAGTTTATATGTAGAGGAGCCTTTGTGTTGTATTGAATGTTTTAAAAATGGAAATCATAAGAATCATATTGAAGTAACCCAAAAAATTTCTATAGTAATAAACCAAGTTTAGCAATAAGCAAAAGAGTATTATGATCAACAGAGATGTAAGTAGGTAACATAATTATCAAAGAAGTTTGATTGGAGTTAATATAATGAACGATCTCCTTTTCTATTTTCATTTGAAAAGAATAAATTGTAATTGAATTTGATGATTTCTGAAAGTTTAAGAAACTTAACTTAAGCAATATATAATAGTAAAAATATATAGCAATTGGAAATAAAGACTAACCAATCAATACATAAAAATAAATTGAAGTTATCTAAATATGAATTAACAAATTAGATATTATTTTTATTATAAACTCAATATTTTTATATTATGGACGAAATATTGCTTTTCATTTTTTTCGCTTTAACTACAGGCTTTTTTATGTATATGTTAGTTTGCACAGATTCTAATTCCAAAACTCCTATGGGAATGATTAGAAGGAAAGTATATGATAATGGCTTTTCTATTTTAAAGTATAATATATTTAGACTCATTAAAAAGATAATTATTTGGTAATAAAATATTTAAGAAGTTTTCAGATTTATACAATTATGTTTTCTACACAAACAATCGACTAGGATAAATTGCATATTTTTTTATATTTTGAATAGCATTTGTATTTTATATTATGTTGGATTACTAAAACATTTTGGAGATACTCCTTATGTAAGTCATATGAATACTGTTTGTGGAAGTCTAGTATTTTTATATAAAACATGCACAACTAGTCCAGGAATAGTAAATAAAGAAAATAATAAATGAATATGTGAAATAATACTAAAAATACTATGATAAAGTATAATATAAATAAAATACTACATTTACAACATGTAAAATTATAAAACCAGCAAGAAATAAACATTGTCGTATTTGTAATGTTTGTGTAAGTAAATTTGATGATCATTGTATTTGGGTTAGATAATGTATTCGGTAGAATAATTACATATACTTTTCTTTATTTATTGAGTGATTGCTGGAATTCTTTGCTTGTTTGGAATAGCTTAAAAGTAATCATAATTTAAATTAACATATAAAAATGCTGTAACTAGAGAAATCCATTAGGCAACTTTTTTAAGAGTATTTACTGTCATAAGCAATAAAAAAACATTTTTTGTATTCATAATATTTGCGTGTCTTATTTTTTTTATCTCATTAACTGCATTTTTCTTATGTCATCTAAATATGATTAGAAAAGATCTAACAACTAATGAGACAATTAGAAAGAATGATTTTGAAAAATCCTTTCTAAATGATATGTATTAATTACAAGAATTAGAAAAAAAAAAAGATGAAGAATCATCCAAAAGACTTGCTTAGTTGAAATTATGTTGGAGTTCTTTAAATAAAAGAAAAGTCTAAGGACTTATTAAGGAATTGAAAATTGTATTTAGTTAACCTAATTGATAGATATATTTTATTCAAGTTTAAATAATTATAAATTAATTTATAAAATCTCATATTCAATATCATTTTTATTAATTTAAATTTACTTATTCTGAATCTGAAATTAGAATTACTGCTCCTTTATCATTTAATTCAATTAACTAAGTTTAGGTTTATTAAAAAAGTTCTTAATTGATTTGGTAAATTATAAAAATATAACCAATATTTATTCAAATTTTCTTTAATATAATTATCCAATTTTTTATNTACTGTTTGTGGAAGTCTAGTATTTTTATATAAAACATGCACAACTAGTCCAGGAATAGTAAATAAAGAAAATAATAAATGAATATGTGAAATAATACTAAAAATACTATGATAAAGTATAATATAAATAAAATACTACATTTACAACATGTAAAATTATAAAACCAGCAAGAAATAAACATTGTCGTATTTGTAATGTTTGTGTAAGTAAATTTGATGATCATTGTATTTGGGTTAGATAATGTATTCGGTAGAATAATTACATATACTTTTCTTTATTTATTGAGTGATTGCTGGAATTCTTTGCTTGTTTGGAATAGCTTAAAAGTAATCATAATTTAAATTAACATATAAAAATGCTGTAACTAGAGAAATCCATTAGGCAACTTTTTTAAGAGTATTTACTGTCATAAGCAATAAAAAAACATTTTTTGTATTCATAATATTTGCGTGTCTTATTTTTTTTATCTCATTAACTGCATTTTTCTTATGTCATCTAAATATGATTAGAAAAGATCTAACAACTAATGAGACAATTAGAAAGAATGATTTTGAAAAATCCTTTCTAAATGATATGTATTAATTACAAGAATTAGAAAAAAAAAAAGATGAAGAATCATCCAAAAGACTTGCTTAGTTGAAATTATGTTGGAGTTCTTTAAATAAAAGAAAAGTCTAAGGACTTATTAAGGAATTGAAAATTGTATTTAGTTAACCTAATTGATAGATATATTTTATTCAAGTTTAAATAATTATAAATTAATTTATAAAATCTCATATTCAATATCATTTTTATTAATTTAAATTTACTTATTCTGAATCTGAAATTAGAATTACTGCTCCTTTATCATTTAATTCAATTAACTAAGTTTAGGTTTATTAAAAAAGTTCTTAATTGATTTGGTAAATTATAAAAATATAACCAATATTTATTCAAATTTTCTTTAATATAATTATCCAATTTTTTATAAAGTCAATTTCATTTTTTTTGTAAAATTTTAATTTCCTAAACTTAAAATCTTTAAAATATTTAGAAATTTGATGACAAATTTTATAAATACCAGCAGATATTACAATTATTTATTTTTCTTTTTTATTATAAAAAATTTTCAGTCAATAATTAATATATAACTTTAGCATCTCAATGAAATATTATTCTTCCCAAGAAATTTTATGAATTTCAATCATATCACCTTACTCAACATTTTCAAAAATTTTGGCTTAATTAAAATTAGATTGAAATATTTGAAATTTTTCTGATTCTGTATGTTAAATCTAAGAGATAACATTATCTTTAATTTTTTCTGCTAATTCACAGCAGCATACTTTAAGAATGCCATTTTCAGAAAATTCATTTAATTTTTTTAATAAATTTCTTAAATTTATTCATCTTTTAATTAATTTTTAATAGAATTATTAACTTTTAAAAATTTTTCATTTGAATCTGTTCCCCACAAATGTGACAATTAATCTTAGATCAATATAGATTCTTGGCATTTACAATCTGCTAAATGATAAAAACATAAACCAGAATATGCAAATAATTCTTTACATGCCTTTCTTTGAGAATGACTACAACCATATTAATTATTACTATCTCCAAGTCTATCCTGAACTTATTATTTTACTTATTGAACTATCCAATAAAGTTGTATTTGATAATAAATTTTCATATAACCATTAGAAATAGAATATACCTGCATTATCTAACATTTTAAGATCCTTATCAATTGTTATTGTAGTTGCATATTATTATATACTCTTAGCTATTTCTCCAACAAGCTAGAAAAACTAATCACTATTTAGAATCCTTCACTATCTTTTACTAATCATATACTTAATCATCCATACAATTATTTTCAAATTGTAAATATTAATTTAATTAATCATTATCATGTTCACCATGAGATATAATATGAATAATCTTTGGATTATATTTTAATACCCAACTCAAATTTACTTTATTAGCTTAAGTAATAAGATATGTAAACTTTTTTATTCAAATCAGATATCTTCTTTTTAAAATTATAAATGTCTTCATAATAACATACTAAAGATACGTGTTTCTCCTCTTAATTTACGATAGGATGACTTTACAATATAGCAATATCTATTTAAGGATATTAAGGCTAAATTTAATGATGTTATTTAGTTCATCAACTTTTTCTTTAAAGTCTTTCAAATTATTCTTATTTTAACTTAATTCATTTTTTTTACTGAATGTTTTCTTTTAAATTCTTTTTCTCCAAATTTATACTTTCCAAAAAAATTTTGAAATTTAATTTATTCTTAATAAAATATTTGTATTTTCAATCTAATAATCAAAATCTCACATGAATTTTAATTTTTATAAAAAAATTATCCATCAAGCTTAATGAAATTATCATCTATAATTAATACATTAGATTTATCCACTAACTAACGAAGAATGTAATTGTAAAATGAAATATTATTATGAATTCAATTACTAAAAATCAATTTTCCTTTTACTTCTTTTCCTTCTTTCATATAATTGTTTCTAATATAATATTCTAATCGATTCATATAAATTCCTAAACTCTATCCATTATGGTTCAAAGAAAACTCCTTTTAAGTATTTTCAAAGCTTTCTGAAATTTCATAATATTCCTTTTCATCATTTACTTTGATTCCTAAAATTTGTAGTCTTACGCGATATGGATTCTTCATAATAAATATTGTTATTATAATTTTATTAAAATACTTAATATAACACTAAGAATATTTCATATTATAAACTTTTGATAAACCTAGTCAAATAAGTTCTTCTAAATCATTCCTAAATATCTTTATTAAATCCTTTCAAAATAGATATTATCCAAATCCCTATACCAAATAGTATGAGTCCTCATGAGAATTTTCGAATCATCAAAAGAACTTATTTAATTTATCAATTATTCAATAAACTCTCCTAATATAGTGTAAGTTGGATAAGGATGAGAATTTAGAGAATATGTTGTAGTAATGATAAATATAATTATTTATTTTTTTATCAAATTAATTTATTTTTATCTTTTAGTTTTTGTTTACAACTATAAAATGAAATTGATTAAAGAAATTCGTTACATTTTTTCAATATCAGAGAGTGTCTATAATTTGCGTTCTAATTCTTAATGTAATTGAATAATTAATGCAATTATTCGCTTCTAGTATTTTTATACATTCAACTTTTTCTAATTTTAATTACAAATTAATCTACCTTTTGATATAATCCATCACCTTTTTATACTGCTAAAATTTCCTCTATAAATTTCAAATTCACTCTTAACTACAAAAATTTGAGTTATTCCAAAGACGGTTTCAAAAATATGCAAAATCAATTTTATTGAAGATTCAAAATGTCTTTTATAGTTATCATTAATGTAATTTTTAATTAATCCAAATTATTTCTTAGTTTAATTATTCTTCTTTAATTTCTTATTATTATTCTTTAATTGCTTATTGTAATTTTTCTATTTCTTATTTTTTTTCTTTAATTTCTTATTATTATTCTTATATTACTTATTTCCAATCTTTCATTTCTTATTGTTATTCTTTAATTTTGTATTTTTATTCTTTAATTTCTTCTAAATTGATTGCAATTTTGATATTTTATTTAATTATTTTATCAAAATATACAATAATCTGTAATTAATAAGAGGTAAGTTATGTTAATTAAAACCTAAATATAAAATATTATCTGATTTGTCTCCTAAATATGCAATTTACCTATATAATTTTCCAATAATTGTTAGGTTACAGATTATTCTTTCTCCATATAATCAGGAAAAACTAAAAAATAATAATAAAAGGATCTATACGTTGAGAAAGGGATTTAAGATCTAAAAAGACTTATTTTCCAGTTTTAACAAAATAAACAGCTTCACCATGTCAACTCAAAATTTCTTTCAATATTTTCATTAAACTTTTATTATTTTCTTTAAAATCAATCTTTTTAGGTTAAACAGAATTAACTTTTTTTTCATCATAAACGATAGGTTTGAGGTAGTAATCTACTATCCCAACAAATAAAATATAAATTACTATCAAGATATCCTCTTGCAATTTAACAAGGAAGAGAATTTCCAGTTGCTGGAAATATTAAACAATTAATCAACTATAAATATGGATTCTTATTAACATTTCTTTATAATATTTCTCCTTGCTTTAAGTTTTCTAATATCTCCTGGATGTAAACAACAATTTCTTGTAACTAATATTTCACCTTAAATATTTTCAGGTTCATGTTATGATTCATTATTTTCATCTTAAACTAAACAATAAATTTCATTAGGTTTTAATAATGTATACTTATCTATTATTCCTAATACTATAGCAGCTTTTCAACAAGAATTGTTGTTATTTTTCTAAGCTACTTTAATCCTCTTTACTTTAATTTTTATAATACTCCTTATATTATTATCCATTCCAATATTTAAGTAAGCTTTTAAAGAATCAACAATATTAGGAACATCAAATTATTTATTGCAATATTCTATACTAAAATATTTGTAAATAGAAGTATCTTTCATTTATAATTCTTCAATTTTCTTTAAATATTCTAAAATAATATTATGTCAATAAGTAATGATTCTGATATTTTGGGTACATTTAAAGAAGCAATCATTTTTGAACAATTGTAATGGAAAATAAGAAAATTGTAAAAATTATATTGTTACAATGAAAGAATATAAACATTGATGTAGTATTTGAATCATAAAATGTCATAATATACAACAAACAAGGAATTGGAATAAAAACTAAAACAGAATTTATTTCTGAGATAATAGGAATACTAAAAATAATATTTAGAATCATTACTATGGGGAATAATACATCCAGAGAGTATGAGTATGTTTTAATCCAGAGAGTATGAGTATGTTTTAATGTAAAGAGATATTGGATAAGACACATCATGGATTGAAGATGGCAAAATAGCGTATTTTATAATTTTTAGCAATAAAATTGTTATAATATATATTAGATTAATAAAAATATATGAAATGATAAGAAGTATAAATAATCTACTAATCTATAATATGTTTACATGGTAATCCTGGAGTATTAGCATAGAGCATAGCTGAGTCTTTGGGAGACCTTTTTTAAAAGATATCACTAGGTGGAGTATCAGATGAAGCATAGATAAGAGGTAACCGAATGACTTATGTAGAAGCATAGGGAGGAGTGATAATGGAAGCAATGAAGAAGCAAAATGTATGAATCCAGTTATCTTACTAGATGAGATAGATAAGATTAATCAATATATAGTTGATTCTGCGTTATTAGAGGTTCTAGATCCTGAATAAAATAAAAAATTTTTAGATAATTATGTAAATGAAGAATTCAATTTGAGTTAAGTTCTATTTATTTCAATAGCAAATTAGTAATAATATGAGTAATAATATTAGTTTATAAGCAATATAACCATCATTAAGAGATAGATTAGAAATAATAGAAATTCCATCTTATACTATAGATGAGAAAGAGAAGATTGCAATTTTACATTTAATTCCAAAATAATTAGAACTTAATGGGATTGTTGGTAAAGTAGATTTCAATATAGAAATGATTAGATATTCATCATGAATTATACAAATGAGAGTGGAGTTAGATAATTAGAGAGATAAATTGATTCTATTTTTAGAAATATAGCACGTTAATAAGTAAGAGGTAAAAGAAAGGGATGTTAC